TTGTAGAGAGCTAGGTGTATAAATATGACTTTCATTCAGCAGGAGGTTATGCTGCAGGATGGCTCTGTTGGGTTTTTTCCCCTTCTCCTCACCCACTTATGTCCTTCCAACAATGTAAAACTCAAAGAACACTCATCCCAGCAAACGCCTGGAGTTGTGCTCCCTGATTTCACAGAACCATAGAATCATTAAATTGTCTAGGTTGGAAGGGACCTTTTCGATCATAGAATGGTTAGAGTTGGAAGGGACTTTAGAGATCATCGAGTTCCAACCCCCCTGCCCTGGGCAGGGACACCTCCCACCACACCAGGTTGCTTCAAGCCCCCTCCAACCTGGCCTTGAACCCCTCCAGGGATGGGGCAGCCACAGCTTCTCTGGGCAACCTGGGCCAGGCTCTCACCACCCTCACACCAAAGAAGGTCTTCCTGGTATCTAATCTAAATATCCCCTCTTCCAGATTAAAACCATTCCCCCTTGTCCTGTCACTGCACTTCCTGACAAAGAGTCCCTCCCCAGCTCTCCTGGAGCTCCCTTCAGATATTGGAAGGCGCTCTAAGGTCTCCCCGGAGCCTTCTCTTCTCCAGGCTGAGCAACCCCACCTCTCTCAGCCTGTCTTCATAGCAGAGGGGCTCCAGCCCTATGACTATCATCTAGTCCAACCATCAACCTAAGTGTGACAAAACCAAAAAAAACCCCAATCACTAAACTGTGTCTCTAAGCACTATGTCAACCTATTTTCTGAATACCTCCAGGGATGGTGCCTCAACCACCTCCTCTGGGGTCACCTGGGCACGGTAGAATCACAGAATGCTGTGGGGTTGGCAGGGACCTCTGGAGATCATCCAGTCCAACCCCGTGCGAGGGCACGGCCACGCAGAGCAGGTCCCACAGGAACTTTTCCAGGGGGGCTCGAATGTCTCCAGAGAAGGAGACTCCACCACCTCCCTGGGCAGCCTCTGCCAGGGCTCTGCCACCCTCACAGCAAAGAACTTCCTCCTCATGTTTAGGTGGAACTTCTTATATTCAAGTTTGTGCCCATTTCCTCTTGTCCTGTCACAGGTCGCAACTGAAATAAGCCTGGCCCCATCCTCCTGCCCCCCACCCTTGAAGTATTTATAGGCGTTGATCAGATCCCCCCTCAGCCTTCTCTTCTTCAGACTAAACAGACTTAAGTCCCTCAGCCTCTCCTCATCAGAGATGTTCTAGTCCCCTCATCAATGCTAGAAGAGTTACTCTGTATCTCACATAACGGTTTAACAAAATTAATATGCCAACATTTTTCCCTGAGCACTTCTGCAGCATAGGCACCAACGAATTTAATGATTCCCCCCCAAATGGTCTAGACAACAGGACATCTGTCAACTGTATTTCAAGTGGTCAAGTTTATTTCAAATTATCTAAGAGATTAATCATTGTCCTTTAAAAACTACCCAGGAGGTCTTCTACCAAGTTTTGCCCAGACACAGGAAGTGGAGCTGCACAGGGGCAGGGTGAGCAGCAGCAAGGAGCTGGCTGTGTCCCTCCAACAAGGCTCCCAGGGAGCAGGGACCACCTTCCCCTGGGACAACCATCCTCAGCTCTTCAAGGAACTACGCAGGGAAGGCAAAACTTGCTTTCTAATCTGTTCTTCTCCTCCTGAACTGACAGACCTCAGAAACAGATGCCATTGAGTCAGTGTAAGGAACAAAGCGGTCGGAGCCACGCGTTCAGCCCTGGGAACACACGCACACGCTTGAAAATTAGCATCTTGTCTGAAATCTTTCGTTTTTCAGTGCTTTTCTTCTGAAAGCAGAAACGGCAGATACTCATCTCATACGCATATGGCACACGGCGTTTCTAAAGTTCTGAAATAAAGGCAACAAACAAAAATACATCCACTCCCAAGACTCTTCTCTCTCATTAGTGCCCACGGTTCTGAATGACACGGGGGGGACTTGGAGAGGTTTCAGGGAGGAACACGCCACCAGTTGATCAAAATACTAATTACCAATACCAACTGCTAATTTCATCCCCTGCAAGCACCTAGGACCCTCCAATTACTTTACTTTCAGGGGGAAAAAAGCCCAATCTTACAGCAGGCTTTTAAAGGTTTATAACAGATCCTGCAGAAGGGGATAAACAAATCTTTTTAAAAGGAAAAATGTCATTTTACTAATGCCCTCTGCAAAGAACGGCTCCATTAATCCTGGCAATCTTTACAAATCCTCCCCCATGTTTTCGAACAGGAGCCAGAGCATCGGGATTCGTTCACCCAACGGCAGCGTGAGTCAGTGGGGCTGGGAGCTGGGGGAAGGAAGGAGCAGGTGACGTCCACGGAGTCACAAAAGTCTTCAAAATGATTCATGTCACAACACGGATCCAGAAAAGCGACTTACAGTTTAGACATAACCTATTGGGGTACTTCTGTGTCCCTGCCCAGGGACTGACCAGCAAACAGGGCACCACAAACACCTCCCGGTCCATCCATCCAACCCACCTCTATCCCCAACAGATAACGGTCAACCCACCATGGAACGGTCCACCCAAATCATGGAGTCAGGGAACTGTCAGAGTTGGAAGGGACCTCTAGAGCCCATCCAGCCCAACTCCCCTGCCAAAGCAGGGCTGCCCAGAGCACAGCACTCAGGAGCATCCAGGTGGGGCTTCAAGATCTCCAGAGAAGGGGACTCCACACCCTCCCTGGGCAGCCTCTGCCAGGGCTCTGCCACCCTCACCCCAAACAAGTTCTTCCTCACATTGCAGTGGAACTTCCCATGGTCCAGCTTGTGCCCGTTGCCCCTCGTCCTGTCCCTGGGAACCACTGGAAAGAGTCCGGCTCCATCCTCCTTCAACCCCCCCTTTAGACACTTGGAAGCATGAAGAAGGTCTCCCCTCAGCCTTCTCTTCTCCAGGCTCAAGAGCCCCAGCTCTCTCAGCCTTTCCTCAGCAGGGAGATGCTCCAATCCCTCCATCATCTCTGGTGCCCTACGCTGGACTCTCTCCAGCAGTTCCCTGTCTCTCTGGAACTGGGGAGCCCAGCACTGGAGGCAGGATTCCAGTTGTGGCCTCCCCAGTGCAGAGCAGAGGGGGAGAATGACCTCCCTCCACCTCCTGGCCACACTCTGCCCTACGCAGCCCAGGATCCCATTGGCCTCGTGGCCACAAGGGCACATTGCTGGCCCATGGAGAGTTTACTCTCCACCAGGACCCCCAGATCCTTCTCCTCAGCAGGGCTTTCCAGGAGATCCACCCCCAACCTCTATTGGTGCCTGGGGTTCTTCCTCCCGAGGTAAACTTGCTGTGGTGCTCGTACAGGAGGTCAGGCTTAGGCCCCGCACTCCCCTGTCGCTCAAAACTGCTTTCAGAAAGGAGAACAGCTCTGTTGTTTTAACCTGGGAGCTCTGCAAAACTCCAGGAGCTTGACAGTGGAGCCGCAGACCATGGCTGGAGAGGGAGCAGGGAAACGAGCAGGGAAAGGCTCCTACGTGTCAAACCTGACAAACCATTATTCACATCCTGAAAGGTCTCACACCAGCACCATTAGTCATGTAACACCTTTTTTGTCAAACCACGGCATTTTATCATTAAGGAGCTGGCCCAAAAAATAAAAACAAACAAAAAAAAAAGAATTTAATGGTGTGCCCAACAGCAGAAGAGACCCAATTCTCCAAGTGTGGTCCTCAGCCAGAAACAGCACCAGTCTCGGAAACATCTCCTTAAACTGCCCACATCCAACTCAATGAACGTGGCTCAGTCTTCTGCTGGGGGTGGCACCAAAATTACCTCTTATAGGCTACTGCAGGCACTTCAAATTACATACAATTTATTTTAAGGTTACTGAGCAAGTGAAAGTGAGCCACGAACGCAAATTACAAATGTCCAGAGACTTCACCCTCCTTACAAGAAAGCTTTTTACTTCTCTCAAGAAGAATAGCTCAGATGTGAGGTCGGTTCCTGTCTCACACTGAGCATGAGAGCTCGTCCACGGACACCTCACAGCACGGTGTGTCACCCCCTGCCATCGGGGACACCCAACTCTTGCCCACTGAACTCCTGCTGCAGAGAGAGCCCTCCGTTACGCACACAGCCAGGGGTCGAGGGAAAGAGGAGAATCTTTTATTAACTCTCAACTGCTGGGTCATACCACTTTCAAAAATAATCACCTTTTGCTATCTCGAACCAGCTCTCCAAAGGAGACCAGCCTCACTCTCCCCCTTCCTCTTCCTCCTGATCTCTATGAACACTCTCTCCCCACGCTACTAACAGCAACTCTCTCATGTTTTCTTTATTCAGAGAATAAAGAAATTCTGGCCATAGACAGATCTACATTAAATGTTTCGTTTTCAGCTCAGAAAGCAGAAGGCAGCCTGAAGAAAATCTCAGAAATTCAGAAACCTTCTAATTTTAAATATAAAACCCAAACAAGCCATGCATATTTTATGATGTAGGACTCCCATTTCAGTTGTTCAACTCAGTTCGAGAAACAAAAAATGAACATGGGAGAGGATAAACATGGATAAATACTACAATTCTGAAATCACAAGTTGCTTTAATACCTTTTAATAACTGGACATTCCCTGACCAAACTGACGCAGCTCTGGAGCCACCTCTGCTCCCTTGGAGGGCACTGGGGCTTCCAGGGGTCCCAGCCAAGCTCTGTGACACTACATTTATTCCAATCATTATTTAGGACACATTCCTGCAATTATTCCTGAACGATTCGGACAGGCTGTGCCCCTCTCAATGTGAAAAAAACCAGCCCATATCATGGGAGCGTTGTGCAGCGCTTTTTGGTTCAGTTGTGACTTCTTTTTATTTACTTTTCTTTTTAAACCAAATATAATAATTCCTTTCATGTATTATTATATTAAGTTTCCAGGTAGAAAAAACTTTTTGTCTTTTCAATTTAGTCAAAGTCCTTAACTAAGATTAATAATCGATCAGAGCAAGATTTGGTTTGTTGGTCTGGAGTCAATACCAATTTCTCAGCCAAACAATTAGTTTTTGAAACTGGCTCTTACCACTCCAATTAAGTCTCCTCGTCCATATTCACCCGTCAGGTGCTTTTTCCCATTGTCCATCCGAATGACCGAGCGGAGCCGCCCGTTCAGCACGATGTAGGTGCAGTCTGACTTGTCGCCCTGCCTGCGGAAAGAACGAGCAATAACAAGGGGCAGTGAAGCATCTTGGACCAGCAAATCCATCCAGAGCCTTCTAAGAAGTTGATCATCTTCCCCTACCTGGCTTCCCCTATAGCAGCCTTCCAGTCCCTCAAGGGGCTCCAGGAAAGCTGGGGAGGGACTCTGGATCAGGGAGGGGACCCATAGGAGGAGGGGAAACAGTTTTAAACTGAAAGAGGGGAGATTGAGATGAGATCTAAGGAATTCTTTGCTGTGAGGGTGGTGAGAGCCTGGCCCAGGTTGCCCAGAGAAGCTGTGGCTGCCCCATCCCTGGAGGGGTTCAAGGCCAGGTTGGAGGGGGCTTGGAGCAACCTGGGCTGGTGGGAGGTGTCCCTGCCCAGGGCAGGGGGTGGCACTGGGTGGGCTTTAAGGTCTCTTCCAACTCTAACCATTCTATGATTCACCAGCAGCAAAGGGAGACAGAGGACACTCTGAGAAATGAGTTTGCTTTTGCAGAGCTGAACTCGTGTCAGGCTGAAACTAGAACCTCGATGTCCTGATTTCCCAACCCATCTTGAGGATGTTCTCAGCTGAAGTCACTGATCTGAGCCATCTGAACCTCAGTTTCCTGTGAGCACCTTCACTGATGCTGTCAGCTGCCGAGTACTGTCTGGTTTTCCCATTCTTTTCTCTCCACCACTTTATTCTTTTACCCACCCCAAACCATTCTATGATTAGAGGAAAACGTTTAACCAACAGTTAAACCCAACAAGCAAACAAGAAACTGAACAGGTGTCTGTTAGAAGGTGATTTGGAAATACATTTAAGGTTTAAATGTACAGGCTCTGCACACATGGTGAGCGTTCACCCTGGAAGCAGATGACCAGGATGTGAGGGGCCTCTGGGGGAGACACCAGCCTCATGACTGGTGACAGCCAGAGCTCATTGCCATCTCGAGGTCACTGTGGAGGCACAGAGAAACTCTGCAGCTCACAGAGAAAAACTCCCAAGCGGCTCAGGATTTGGATTCCTTTGGGTGCACACACCTCAGTCTGCCCAGAAGACTGCCATATCGAGTTTGCAGGACTGGGAGTGCTGCTGGCAGCAGATCTCCAGCACAGCCTGGAAAACCATGGATGAAACACCACTTCTGGTAGTGGAGTCAAAACTAGTGCAAGGAATTCCAAAAGATTTTAACAAAATATTGACAGCTATGACTGCTTTGATGGACAAAGTAATCCAAAACTTCCGTTAACATTAGTGCTGCAGGTATAGTTATAAAAATTAAAATTACAATTATATAGAACACGTGCTAAATTAGACCTTTATTCTCCCACCACTGCAGCAGCCATGTCATCGCTCAAAAGCACCCTAGTACAAAAATTTATAAATCTAAGTTTTCCCAAGGATAACTTTTGCCCCCTAAGCACAAAGTGCAAGTTCCTATTTTCAATTTACTATTGAATAACCCTAACTGAATCATCTATGGGTTTTGATGTTTATTTTAAAAAGGCTGAAAAACTCTTTGAACAATAGACGTTCGTGCCCTTAACAATGCAGAAACTACCAGCGGAACATATCACTGTCTATGTCTTAATTAATTATGTCATTTTAAAAGCTTGTCAAGAGAATATAATGGATGAGGAACAGTATGAAAGAGTTTCAGTAACACCTGGTGACAAGAGACTGAAGCAACATCAACTGCAGGAAGAAAATAATCTCAAAATAGGCAAACAGATAAACTTGATGGAATGGTTGATCAATTTGGTCCTATGAGTTTCTTATTCTATATAACAACAAGGGAGTATGGCTTCTTAACTTCAAAAACTTAAATATTCATAGAATCATAGAATTGTCTGGGTTGGAAGGGACCTTTCAGATCATCCAGTCCAACCATCAACCCAACTCTGATAAAAAACCATCACTGACCCATGTCTCTAAGCACTATGTCAACCCATCTTTTAAATCCCTCCAGGGATGGGGCCTCAACCCCTTCCCTGGGCAGCCCATTCCAAGGCTTCATAACCCTTTCCATGGAAAAAATTTTCCTAATATCCAATCTGAACCTCCCCTGGTGCAACTTGTGGCCGTTTCCTCTTGTTCCATTGCCTGTTCCTTGAGAGAAGAGACCGACCCCCCCTGGCTACACCCTCCTTTCAGGGAGTTGGAGAGAGCGAGAAGGTCTCCCGTCAGCCTCCTTTTCTCCAGGCTGAACACTCCCAGCTCCCTCAGCCTCTCCTCACAAGGTTTGTGCTCCAGACCCCTCCCCAGCTCCATTGTCCTTCTCTGGACCCGCTCCAGCCCCTCAATGTCTTTTTTGTGGTGAGGGACCCAAAACTGGACACAGCACTGGAGGTGGGGCCTCACCAGTGCCCAGTGCAGGGGGAAAAGCAGAGGTTCAGGGCTCAGCAGACCACAAACAATTTTTTCCACATCTCACCTGTAAACAGCTCGTCCAGCCTCAACCTCCATCCAGTCCAGGGCAAAGTCCATTTGCCTAACAAACGGGGACATCCTCTTCACCACAGTGTGGGCCACGCCGAGAACCACGCTTGGCTGCTCCCGCATTATCCTAGAGGGGAAAAAAAAAAGCATTATTCAAGTTACAGTTACACAGGCAGGCACTAGCTCAGAAGTCAGTACGGACCCACATACACCCCACTGCATCAGAGAAGGTTGGACAGAGCAGGGGGCTGGCCAGCCCAGCCCAAATTAAACATCACTCAAAGCTGACACTGTCCCAGTAGCAGTAGGACTAGGCTACTGAGCCGCCTGCTCGTCCTGCTGTCTGGCCCAATTTTGTGGATGGGAGCCATGTGGCTCTTCTTTATGAGCCACCCTCCAATCCTCCCCTAAACTCAGGTCTCTTAAAACTCAGGAATCTGTTTGTACCGTCCAGAAGACTGTCCCTCCCTGCCATTCCTCACCCCTCACTCTCACACACGTGCTCATGGTTTCACCTAGATTTTATTTCAGGTGTTAGGTGTGAAGCCTGACACTCTTCAAAATAAGCTCTGTATTTCAAATGTTCCCTTCTCTCTGTTGCAAAGCCCAGAAAGAACTGAAGCATCTCCTGATAAAGCTTCTGATCTTCACACTGAATCCTTTGAGAGAGGCTTAGAGTCTTTAATAGTACAGATACCGTGGAATTCAATACTTTTCCCAAACTGAAAAGCTTTGAGAACGTTCTTTCAGTGGTAACTGCAAACCTGACACCTAATAACAGCTCATTCACGTGTTATTTCTTATTCTTTTTAGCCTAAAAGGTCAGCGCATCCTGTCACCTTGCGAGCACTCCAGCTCCTACAAGAGCACTGCTCCTCAGGAGTGAACCGATCACACGTGTCTCCAAACAGGGTACCTGTTGGGACACACTATCTTTCCTGTTCCTGCGCAGCATCAAGAGTCATCGATGGCAAACTACGAAAAACTAGTTATTTGACAAGAGGCAGCACAATTCAGGAAGAAGTAGGTAAGTGTATGCAGACCCAGTAGGTGAAGTGGATGCAGACGGAGATGGGGGAGCTCCCTCAAAACCACACATGGGCAGAAACAAAGAAGAGAAAACAATAAATACTTGGTATGTTTTTTCTCATCAGTGTTGCCTTTACAGTGAAGATATCGGAGGATCTACTTAGGAGACCCCATGTATGTGGAAACTCAGGCTAAACACAAATCATGTGTCCCTGCCCAGGGCAGGGGGTTGGAACTCGATGATCTTTAAGGTCCCTCCCAACCCGAACCCACCGACTTGATGATCTTTAAGGTCCCTTCCAACCCGAACCCACCAATGGTTCTGTGTGAGCTTCGTATCTAACCTCACACCCTGAAAAACAGAAAGGAGGAGAGAAAGGCACAGAAGGAGCGTTGTCAGTCTTGGTTCCCCGACTGAGACACGGCTCCTTGTGGAACACTGTAACCCAGCAGAAAGCAGAGAAAGCCTGAGCAGAGCTCCACAATCCTGGAACATGATACCAAAAGCCTGGATGAACTGTCCCCAAAGCTTCTAAATCATGACAGTGCTCATCCTGCAGCTGCAGCAAGAGCCCCAGCAGCGACAGGGGCAGGGGCAGCTCACAGGGCACTCACCTGGAGCTTTCGTGTTTATCTGCTCTCCTTACCCAGTGCCTCAAATTACTTCCCTTCACAATAATGAAGCTTATCGTTTCTTCAGGTGAAATCCCTGAATTTGAGATGGAAGAGACTCGTATGGGTATATCCCTATTCCATAGGGAGCTGATCGCATCATCCCTCTGCACTCTTGTGTGCAATTAGGTAAATGAAACTGAACTCCAGCTCTCACATTTAGCACGGTTTAAAATCCAACCATCAGAACAGGGTTAGGGAAGAGCAGGAGGTTTTTGTGCCCCCCATCTCCTACCCAAGACACCCACAGACTTACTTTGCTTTCCCTAAGCCCCTATTGCATGTGAAGACAATGTTATCTATGGAAACTTTACCAAACTAATGTAACTTGGAGCAAAAGATCAAAGGCTCTGGAAGAGGCAGCCCAGGATAAGCACTAAAAGCCAGACAACACCACTCCCAACACACACACAACACCCAGCCCTATCCCCCTTCTCAGCTGGTGCAAAAGTTAAACAACCCCCTGAAAACTCCTGGGTGGTTTGGCTCCCTGTTTTTACTCCACTTGCTTATTTAGCCCTCAAAGTCTCCTCCCACACAGGCTGTCTGCTGGGATCAATAAAAGCCATTTACTCCTTTTCCTCCATCAAGATAAGTATCTTAATACTTAATGCATTCAAAATGTAAACTACTAACAGGCTGCTTTTCCTTCCATCTGGAGCTCTCTATTATTTCCCTCAGTGCTCTATAACTTCGACAAGAGCATGAGCATTGAAGGTAAAAGCCCACCCTTATGCACAAGAAGAGAAAAGCACAGGTTTTCTCCCCATTATCAGCCAGGTTTCCTTCCTCTCCCTCGGGCATTTTCATCTTTGCTCTTCTCCTTGGCATACGCCTGGCACTGGAAAATGAAAAAACAAAGCTCTGTCCTACAGGAACCTGTTTCTGAAAGGATCCTGAGGGTTTTTTATTAGAAAGCACAGCAAATATAGTGATGAAAAGGGAAAACTAGTGTATGTGAAAGCCTGGGACTGATCAGAAATTCTCATGGGTGCAATGTGACATTCAGCTTGGCTGGCAATAGAAAAGAAAAAAAGAAAAAAAAAAAATCAAAGCTTTCTTGCTTCTCTGGCAAGAGCACACCACTAAGACTCCAAACTGTGAAATGTACTGAAGCAGAGAAGGAGAGCATCCCCAGGACTGCAGGACCTGAACATGTCCCCTCCAGAGCCCTGTGACAACTTGATTACACCGTTGGGCAGTAGACACCAGCAGCTGCCGCGTAGGCACTGCACAGTGGGTACATCAGCTCAGCCAAACAGCAAGGTATTTAAGGTATACACTACATAATCAGCTTGTGCCACCCCTACACTTAAGCTCTGCATCTACAGTCAGTCATTTAGTCATGGGGATATCACGTAAAAGGCTCCTGCCCCAAAGTCTCAGTGAAAAGGATTGAATTTGTTGTCCAACACCCAATGTGCAATTCCAGACCCTGGGCTACTTCCATTACTGCACTCTCTGCCTAATAGCAGCTATTGACCATGTTCCTTCTGCTGCGCCCTCTCGTTAATTATTGAGGAAAAAAAAACATACAATGTTCCAGGGCAGCTCAAAGAAAAAGAGTAATGTGTTTGACAAGAAAGGAAGAAAGGAAGTTTGGAGAATAATGGAGGTTCTCATCAAATTTCTTCTGGTCAGTAAGATAAGAGCCAAAAAAAAATTTAAAAACCCCAAATTATTCCTGGGAGATTCCCAGGGAAGGAGAAAGCCTGGTGCTGTAGGAGTCTGAGCACAGAATTGGGCACAAAAAGCGTACCATAAAACTCCCATCTAATTTTATCAACAAGTTTTTCACAGAATGCTATGGGGTTGGAAGGGACCTCTAGAGATCATCCAGTCCAAGCCCCTGCCAGAGCAGGGCCACCCAGAGCAGGTCCCACAGGAACATGTCCAGGTGGGTTTGAATGTCTCCAGAGAAGAAGATTCCACCACCTCCCTGGGCAGCCTCTGCCAGGGCTCTGCCACCCTCATGGGAAAGAAGTTCCTCCTTACGTTGAGATGAACTTCCCATGTTCCAGTTTGTGCCCATTCCCTCTTGTCCTGTCCCTGGGCACCACTGAAAAAAGCCTGGCCCCATCCTCCTGACACCCACCCTTGAAGTATTTATAGGTGTTGATCAGATCCCCCCTCAGTCTTCTCTTCTCCAGACTAAACAGACCCCAGTCCCTCAGCCTTTCCTCATCAGAGAGATGTTCTAGGCCCCTCATCAATGCTAGAAGAGTTACTCTATATCTTGCATAATGGTTTAATAAAAGTGCTTCTGCAGCATTATTCTTTAATAAGAGCACTTCTGAAGCATACGCACAACAAATTAAAAGATTCCCTCCCAAATGGTCAAATGACTGTCTCTAGACAACAGGACAACTGTCAACTGTATTTCAAGTGGTCAAATGTATGTTCTAGATCCCTCATCATCTCTGTAGCCTCTGCTGTACCCTCTCCAGCAGTTCCCTGTCCTCCTTGAACTGGGGAGCCCAGAACTGGTCCCAGTGCTCCAGCTGGGGCCTCCCCAGGGCAGAGCAGAGGGGCACGATGACCTCCCTCCACCTTCTGGCCACACTCTTCCTGATGCCCCCCAGGATGCCCTTGGCCTTCTTGGCCACAAGGGCCCATTGCTGGTTCATGGGCATCCTGTTGTCCACCAGGACTCCCAGGTCTTTCTCAGAGCTGCTCTCCAGCAGGTCACCCCCAACCTGTCCTGGTGCAGGGGGTTATTCCTCCCCAGGTGCAGCACCTGCACTTGCCCTTGTTGAATTTCCTCAGGTTCCTCTCTGCCCAACTCTCCAGCCTGTCCAGGTCTCCCTGTGGTGGCACAGCCTTTGGGGTGTTCTCTTTCTCATACAGTTCAAAGCAAAAATGAACGAACTTTAAGAAAGCTGGTGCTTTTCAAAGACTTCCTACCATGACACTTTCAAATAGGGAAACCAGAGCTAGAAGTGATACAAAGCTTGGGTGTAAGGAGAAATTGGGAAGATGGAATGCTGCAAGATCACACAGCTCACAAAATGCAGAGAACTGGCAGCAGACTTTTATAAAGGAGAGAAAGAAAGATTTGGAAGGGTCCCAAAGACGAAGAGGTGATACACGGATGGGTTTGAGATCACTGACTGGGAAGCGATTACTGGAAGGAAAAGGTAAGTTGGAACAAACAAGAGAAAACTCAATTCTTCAGAGAGAAAACTCAGGAAAAGGGGCTCAAGCAAACGAGAGTTAATCCAGGACTGAATATCAAAACAGGTGAAAAAAAAGAGGAGGAAAAGGTGGAATCTGAGTGGTGGGTTGAGACGAATTGAGATGACATAACGAAACTTAAAGTCAGAAACAAGCAGAAAAACAACAGCAGAAGAAGAAAGAATGAAAAAGCAGGAACTTAGAAGAAATAGGTCTGATCCCGCATGGAATGGCACAACTGGGGAGCATTTATCAGTAATTAGGTCGGAGAGCTAACATTCACTGCACGGACTTGGAAAAACCCAGCTAATCACCCAAACCCACTGCTGAGAACATCAAGTTCAGTTTTATAGCACATAGCCTTCTGCCTGGGGTGAAAAAACAAAAACAGTAAGAAAAAAAAAAAATCACAGAATAAGATTCTGTGGTGGAGTTGATTAGGAATACAAACAGTTAGATTTAGAAGGTCAGAAGTACACAGAAATGTACAACACAACAGTGGCCAGGAAAACACAACCTCTGGAAGTCCTACACCTAACACAGGACTGATGGCACATTCAAACAAAAATTGAAAAAGGAGATTAGGAAAGAAAATAGAGGTATTTGACACAAATTACGTTTGTGAACTAAGTCTTAACAACAGGATTGTGGAAAAAAAAATCAAAGGCATTAATCATTAATATTGGAAAACAAAGCTAACCACAGTCATCATATCGGATTTGGGGGTGTGTTTTTTAATTAAGAAATACCTATATCTCCCTTTAAGCATTAAGTCACGAGTCATGTGCTGCTTCCAAGGTCCAGAAAGCAACGTTGCCTCACAAGGAGTAACGTCTTGCAGGCATTATCCTTTGACCTTTTCTATTTGAAAACCTGTAGTTATACCCAGATCAATCATTCACAGCACATCCCCCAGCCTGGGCTGCGTTTGGAAACAGAACTGGGGGGGGGGTTCTCCAGCCAAAAGGAATAATGAATCTAAGAGAAAGGGCCTGGCAAAGAAACAGCAGCAAAGCACAGGCTCTGGCCAGACTTTCTTATTTGGATTGTGAAGTGCATGTGTCTTGGGTCATAAATCACACCTGACTGGGTTAAGTGCTCTATAAACCTGGAACAAAGATACCACCATTTAATATGACTGTGCATTGCCTCTTGCTGGAGATAAAGCCATCTGATCGATGGGTCAGAGCTCATCTGGGCACTTAAAACCCTCCCATAAGCTATCTGGTTTGCTACAGGACAGATTGCAGCAGTACTACATCACACACACATCCGGGGCTCCTCATTTGTTCAAAAGGGCCATAAAAATAAATAAAATAATAAAACATAAATCAAAATCACTATTGGTTTCCAGGGCAGAACTCACTCGTAGAAGTGGGACTTGGAGATGGAGAGGAAGCTGCAGTCTCGATTGGCCTTGATGGTGAAGATGAGGGGTTCCCCGGTGAGGACGGCGAGCTGCCCCACGAGCTCCCCGGGGTGGGTGATGAAGAGGCAGGTGTCCTCCTCCGAGTCTATCTTCTGCTGGTACACGTGAAGCACCCCCGAGACCACAAAGCAGACATTAACATCCTGCAGAAAACGGAAAGAAAAAAAAAAAAAAAAAAAGTTCAATAAAACCCCCCCAAAGATTTTCAAAGCAATTAGCACGGCGACAGTACTATCGTGCCCGATCTGCTTTCCAGAAAGCTCCCTATAGTTTTTGAACAATTAGGTGATAAAATAAGACACAATCGTGAATTATTAAAAGCGGGTTATGAATATTTAAAACTGAGCAGCCACAATATTGAAAAATGTGTTTTTCTTTGTATGGTTATGGAAAATGAGGGCTGCACTGTAAGATCTGCAAAAATAACAAAAGAATTGGGAATGGAGAGAAGGGGTAATCACGGCAGCGCGACAAGGACAGCGCAGTTCAGGACACAGCAGCATCGTAATTAGAGCTGCCCTCAGCTGCTTTGCATAAGCTCATCTATTTATACTGCATTATTATAAATGAACCTCATTTTCCTAAGTACACTTTGCTATAAACAAACAACACTGGATTTCTAGTGTATGGGGGTAAAAAAAACCCACTTTACTGCAACTGGATGCCATCAGGGGAAGTGTGGATGCCGTGTGGGGCGTGGGAAGGGGCTGCGTGGTCCCCGTCCCCCTCAGGAAGGATGGGGTCTGACACCCCACATCTCACGAAGGTACCCAGGAGCTGAAACCAGAGGGGTCCCAGCCCTTGGCTCTGCTCCCCCTCTGCAGAGCAGCTGAGAGTCAGGAGCCCTTCACCTCCAGGAGAGCAGGCTCGGGAGGGATTCTTTATTTATCATCATCAGCCTGGAGAAAAGGAGGCTGAGGGGAGACCTTCTTGCTCTCTACAACTCCCTGAAAGGAGGGTGTAGCCAGTGGGGGGTCGGTCTCTTCTCCCAAGGAACAGACCATGGGACAAGAGGAAATGGCCTCAAGTTGCACCAGGGGAGGTTCAGACTGGAGATTAGGAAAAATGTTTACACTGAAAGGGTTATGAAGCCTTGGAATGGGCTGCCCAGGGCAGTGGTGGAGTCCCCACCCCTGGAGGTGTTCAAAAGACGGGTTGCCATGGTGCTGGGGGACGTGGTTTAGTGGTGATTTTTGTGAGAGTTAGGTTGATGGTTGGACGAGATGATCTTGAAGGTGCCTTCCAACCTAGATGATTCTCTGATTCTATGATCAATGTGCATAAAACCTTATGGTGGGAGGCTAAAGACTCACGCTCTCTCTGCTCCCAGACGATGCTCACCCACCTGATCCCCCTGCCGCGACAGCACCGTCCCAGCAGTCACCTGGTGCAGTGTCACTTTGCCATCCAACAGCGAAGGATCCTGGAGAAGAAAGGGGTGGAGGGACACAATTTACTTCTCTGTGCACATGTCAAGGCCCAAGAATGTGAGGAAGCATTGAAATAAAGCAAATAAGAATAAAAATTACTAAAGATGATGATGTAACCTGGTCTAGCAGGAAGTGTCCCACCCAGGGCAGGGGGTTGGAACTGGATGATCTTTAAGGTCCCTTCCAACCCAAACCATTCCGTGACCTTGTAAGTACTTGAATCTCTTTAAAATACAGTGCATGATTTTTATATTTCTCTACACAGAAAATGCTTCTTCCAGAAAAAAAAAAAGGTTTAATTTGTTTCAATTGATCAAACTTAGATTCTTAAGGGGTGTGAGGGTTTTATATTTGTCAGTTTTTCCCTCAGACTCTTTTAAGGGTCTGCAACGAAAAGAGACCTCTATCAGCTGGCATGAAAATCCTCAAATATGAAGTTCCTCTTCTCCAGGCTGAACAACCCCAGCTCCCTCAGCCTGTCCTCGTAGCAGAGGTGCTCCAACCCCCTGATCATTTTCGTGGCCCTCCTCTGGACCTGCTCCATCAGGTCCATGTCCTTCTTATATTGAGGGCTCCAGACCTGCACACAAGACTCCAGGTGAGGTCTCACCAGAGCAGAGTAAAGTGGAAGAATCACCTCTCTGGACCTGCTGGCAGAGAGCCAGGATGGGATTGGCCTTCTGGGCTGCAAGTGCCCACTGCCTGCTCATGTCCAGCTTCTCATCCATCAACACCCCCAAGTCCCTTTCCTCAGGGCTGCTTTCTAACACCTCATCCCCCAGTCTGTGCTGATGGCGAGGATTGTTCCGGCCCAGGTGCAGAACCTTGCACTTGTTCTTGTTGAACCTCATGAGGTTCACCTGGGCCCACCTCTCCAGCCTGTCCAGGTCCTTCTGGATGACATCCCGTCCCTCTGGTGTATCGACAACGAGCAGGGGCAAAAATGTAGGCTCAATTATGCGATTCTTGCATTATGCTGAAGAGGACAGTGCAGTCCTGGGGTGTCACAGGGCAAGGGGGGACACTCCTGTGTCCAGTTCTTGGCCACGGGGGTAGAAGCACCGCGAGCAGGAGCTGCGGGCACAGCAGGGAACAATCCAGCACAAGCAGCACAGCGGAACCTGCCCAGAGCCATTAACCTCATTGCAGCAGGAAAACAACATCCCAGAGATGTAAACACTCTAATCGGCATAACTATTATGGGCAAGTTTTTCTCTTTTCATTTTCGTTTGAAAAAAAAAAAAAATAGAGCAAGTGAAATAATCAGAATTATTCTTCACACCTACAGCTGATAAAAAGAACAGATTTTCATCAAAAAAAAAAACAGTTTTATTGAAACCAATCTGTTTCATGGGAATGTATCCAATGCAAAAAACCTGACAAGCACCTGTCAAAATATTTCAGTTCAGCAATATCAACTCAACTAATTTCTATAATGTTTTTTTTTTTTTCTATATTTATACGTTTATGGTTGTATAGTATTACCTGTACTTTTTGGCTGCATTAGCTCTAACAAAAATTGTTGCAAAGATTTTCTTCATGTCTAAGACTACTTAATTCTTGGAATGGATTGTGCACTGGAGATCTTTAAGAAGAGCTTTAGACAAAAACCTGCCAGAAATGACTTAGCAATATTTGATCCTGGCCTGGGGCATGAAAAGAGACTGAACGACCTCCAAGCAGTCCTTGAAATCCTACTTTTCTGTGCTATTCCTGCCCCCATTGAGCAACCAAGGAGTTGAGAAATAAGACCATGGACAAGATCCATCCTGTCTTGTCCCTTCTCTCTTGAATGGGCATGACCAGCAGCCCCAAGTTCAGCGCTGCACCAATACAAGGCTGGAGCTAAATAACTCTGCACTGACCCCCTCCAGCCACGAGCCTTCAGGAAAAGAAGTCACTGGCACAATAAAATCCATTTCACAGCGAGTTTCTCTGTGTTACTGTAACAGACAATAAATTAGCAGAGGTTTATGGTGCAGACATGAAGGCACAAACCGCTTATGAACAATAAACAAAAGCAGTAATGAACAGAAAAATAATTTTTTTGTGTCAAAGGCAGTGACTCAATTTGCTGTGTAACTCAGGAGAACACACACCCTGCAGCATCCCTTAACTCACCTAACTGCAGCTAAAACTGAAAATGGAAAAGTTGTACGAGATTGAAAACCATTCAGGGCAGTGAACCAAGAAATTAACATTCTTTACAACAAAAGGAAAAAAGAAAATCTGAATTCTGAAGCCAGACACCTAAGGGTCATTTGAAACAATACCAACAGCACCTCTGTCCTAGAGTAAATGATCCTCTCCTCTCTCTCTCTCTCACAGGCTCATGGAAAAAATCCCTACCAAACAACCAAAAAACAAACCACCACCATCTGTCATCAAAACATCTTGATTTTATTCCCACCGATTGGCTGCTCTGAAAACTGACACCTTACAGTGCCTCCAGCCAGCTAAGAAATAAAAGATCTGAGCTAATTTTTTTAAGAGAAAAGTTTACAGGATTCATTTTCTTCCTTTCCATAAGTAGTATTGAACACATATATTGTAAACACAATAAAGACTTTTCTTCTGTTGCCAGCAGAAGAATCAACTTTTGCTATCCTGCATGGAAAAAAAATTAACATCGACCTTTAAATGAGATTTCTAGCATTTAGCCAAGTTCCACCAGACTCTTATTTGCTTGTGAAAAACTGGGTTGCTGTAATACCAAAGTTTGAAAAGCCGACCGTATTTCATTATTATTTGGACCTTCATGTTAAAATCACTGCCTGCAGATGCTGTGTTTTAAGGACACTGTTCCAACTTCAACTCTAATCTGTTTACTTGTTAATTACTGAGAGATTTATTCTAGATTTAAAATATATAAATAGAGAGAGAGGAACGGAGAGGAAGAGAGAGAAAAGGAGAGAGAGAGAGAGAGAAAAGGAGAGAGAGAGAGAGAGAAAAGGAGAGAGAGAGAGAGAGAAAAGGAGAGAGAGAGAGAGAGAAAAGGAGAGAGAGAGAGAGAGAAAAGGAGAGAGAGAGAGAGAGAAAAGGAGAGAGAGAGAGAGAGAAAAGGAGAGAGAGAGAGAGAGAAAAGGAGAGAGAGAGAGAGAGAAAAGGAGAGAGAGAGAGAGAGAAAAGGAGAGAGAGAGAGAGAGAAAAGGAGAGAGAGAGAGAGAGAAAAGGAGAGAGAGAGAGAGAGAAAAGGAGAGAGAGAGAGAGAGAAAAGGAGAGAGAGAGAGAGAGAAAAGGAGAGAGAAAGAGAGAGAAAAGGAGAGAGAGAGAGAGAGAAAAGGAGAGAGAGAGAGAGAGAAAAAGAGAGAGAGAGAGAGAGAAAAGGAGAGAGAGAGAGAGAAAAGGAGAGAGAGAGAGAGAAAAGGAGAGAGAGAGAGAGAAAAGGAGAGAGAGAGAAAAGTGCTGTAAATTGGTGGCTTCAATGATCTTGGAATTTTTGCTCACGATCCAGTTGTACACTGGATACAAACCTCTGTCACAAGCGGAGCCTGAGGCCAGTCCTACCAAGAACAGAGGCTGAACAGAACAGATGAAGGTACTTAGTCCTACTTTACTCCATCTGTAACAAGAATTGCTTCCAAAAGAGTGTGTAGCCTTTTCAGGAGGATATAAATGCCTGGAAAAACTGAAAATTCAGGTAACAAGAGAGTGAGGTCCCTGCAGACTAACAGACAGCACCGCATCTGCAACACGGAGTGGGGACCTCCAGCAGCTGAAAAACCATGACTGAGGTTTCAAAGGTGCAAGGGGAATAATTTTGAATTCGGGGGGAATGTTAAAATCCAAAAGTAAAATCCTTTTAAGTTCTAGCAAGTGCCGTTTGGTGAGAGCTGTTAAAGCAGAGGCTGCAGCGGCCGTGCCCAGCCCTCTGGCAGCACCTCCAGGCTCCTGCGAGTGTGACACGGGCTGTAACACAACCAGGGCAGCTGAGCCTGATTCAAGCAGATGTAGGATTTTCCCAGACTGATTCGCCACACAAACAGCCACACCTCTGTAATGAAATGCAGCAGGAATGCTGAAAACAAACATTTTCATTCCTCCTTCCAACACGAAGGTGCTGAGCAGGGGTCGAGCTCAGTAACGGCCACGAGGGCACAGTCAGCTCTGAGACCCACTCGGAGCAACAGCCAAATACAGAGAGTCTGCCCCAAAAATCAACGAGGCGCTCAGATGCTATGCCAACAGGGGGGACACAGACCCAGCAACCACCTGAACAATTTTCCATACCTTCTTCACACAGTTTGTGAGAGCACGAAATTAAAAGGCGGCAGAAATTGCACGTTTAATTCTCACAGGGATAAATCCCTGCACAGTGCGAAGAGCCTCACGCCGTGCGTTTCAGTACGGGCTTTTCAAATGGCAGAATAATTCAGATTTATTTCAGTCCCACTAATGACTTCAACAGACTAGAGAATAAAGCATTCAGCTCGCCTGCAGCGGAGTGGGGAGACAATCTACTTTTTAGTGCTTGGCAGATTGGGATGAAAAGCCAAAACAAAGCCATTTCTTCCTGCAACAACTTACATCAAGTTTCATCAGGGTTGAAAGGTCTTTCTTTGCTGCTTCGATGATGGCCTCACTGTGTTTGCTGTTGCAGGAGTCCTGCGCGTCGCTGTAATGGAAAACTGCTGAAGGAGTCTCTGTCACCGTCACAGTCTTCTTCAGTATGGACTGGAGAGAGCAGATACACACCAGGGATGGGGATGGAGGTTAGAATTGGCACCCTCCCAGCACAAACTCACCACAGCATCTGTGTTCTCCATCCACCACAACTGGTGGCCCAAAAAAAAAAAAAACCAACCAAAAAAAAAAGCAAAAAAGCAGCTCCGTTTCCAAAAAAGCAACAGCTTGTTAACTTCATTATCCTGGTGTTTCTTCTGCAAAGCCTGACACTCAAGTCAAACAAAGTTACTCATCGCAGCCCGCGAAAGGGAAGAACAAGAGGCTTTTCAGAAACTGGGCAGCTGCCAGCTTGACAGAACTAAAATTTGATCAACACCCCATACAACGATGGAGGAAAAGATAAAATGGGCAGGTCCCACTGAGCCACAGTCGCTCTTTAGATTTTGGGTTGCAGTTTTATAATTCAAGAGCATTTTTGTGCTCTTAACTTTCAGGTCAGTATTCATAAAAAATAGACCAGAAAACAAAGAATAGATTTATAAAACATGATTGAAAACCTACAGGAAGTTCATGGGCTGATACAAGATTTTAATTCCCTGCTGGAAGGTAGTTCTCACAAATAAAACACGGTCTGACAAACCCACCTTTCCGAATAATCCTTCTCATGAGTCAGAGGAAGGCAATACCTAATATCAAGAAGCTGCAGCAGTGCTTTCCTGTTACCTGCCAAGGGCATCTCCACAGAATTTCAACATCTGCACTAAACGGTCACCAAAAATCTCCTGAAAGAGCTGTAAGTTCAAACACAGCAGTAAAGAAGGAGCAGCCCCACCTTGCCCACCACGGGAGCGCTGGCCATGTCCTCGGAGGCAAAGTGCACCCGGTTCCTCCCGTACGCCGTCCCCACCTCTGACTTTGTGCTGCTGGAGTTACCTGTGAGCAAAACAAATACCTTTTTTTAGCACCTCCTTTCTCACAGTTTGTCACAAATAGCAGACAGTGCACAAAGTCGAGCAACTTTTTGTTGTTTGGTCATTTCTGAACCTGAGGATAAAATCCAAAGTGGCATCCTCATATTTTTATTTATTTCCTGCTTCCTTTCAACCCAGAAGATCTGATGAGAACTTTACGTCTTCTCATCCAAGCTCATGCCCCAGTAGGTCCCAAAATTCCCCCATCCAGCCTTGCACAGAGAACAATTATTATTTTGGAGTTGAAAAAACAGAGTCATGTGGATCTGAAGTTTATCAGGAAGAGGCAAACCCACCAGATTTTCCTCACTGTTTTCAGGAAATTATTCTTATTAACCTTTTCTCTACTAAACCAAAGAACTCTTTTGTACCCGATGTATTGTAAGAGCTTTCATAGGGACAATATTACAATCAGCATCATCTTAAAGTCTCTCCATAGAAAGCACTCCCCCCTGACACCTAAAATCATTTCAGAGCTTTTCTACAACTCATCCCAGCTTTCCATGCACATCCTGTGCCGAGAGACACGCACAGAATTCCCTCACAGCTCTCACTTATTTAAATTCATGAATTTGCAGTCACTAACGGCGTCTATTCCTTATTTCCCAGCTTTAATAGATCTTAATTATATTGGCTCCTTGGCTGTCCCACCCGCCTTCCAGGAACTTATCTGAGATAATCAATAACAAAAACGTAATTGGGAAAAGCTTCCTATTTAATTACCTACAATAGGATACCCACCTATCAGCCTGATGATTTACAGACAAGTTTAAGAACGATGCAGAGATTGCAATTTCCTTTAACAGATAAACCTATCATCATTTCTATCATATTTCTATGCCTGATAATATCTCAAAAATATACTGCATTCAGAAAAGTTTAAATCTTCTCCCTTATGCTTTTTTCCTTCTCTTACTACGTTGATCTTATACTTTGGCTTTTTTAAAATATAAATCGGTGCTCAAAAATAGGATGGGCCCTTAGGAAAAACAACGGTTTTTGCCAACTGTTGAATTTGTTACCTAATAAACTCTGAAAGAGCTCAAATTATGCATTTTTAATTTCTCCCCCATTCTCCTTTCTCTACACACACACTCAATTTTGCCTAGAATTTCCCCCATCTTTGGAAAGTTACCTTTTGGAAACATGGAGCTATCCCGGATTTATACCCTTGTTACATATGATCATGTGAAAATATTCCCCTCTCGTGAATAGCTGTCTATAAATTTAATTTAATTTTTTAAAAATACAATTATTTCATTTCTGAAAGAGCTTGACTCCCATCTCCACCCCAGCCAGGACAAGGGGAGAATCTGACTGTCCCCAAGATTCAGACCCACCTCGGAGTTCTCTTTGCCACATTATCTACAAACAGGAACAAATATTTGCATGAAGTAAATCCACAGCGGCCTCTTGGGGCCGTAACATCATTTAATGCTCAGCCTCCAACCAAGAAACCCAACAAGTTGACCCAAAGATTGCCATCAGCAAAACTTACAAACCATTAAAAAAAAAAATATAAAATAATAAAAAAAAAGAGCTGTTGACACTACAAACTGAATTTCATACACACTGAATTTCATACTGCAACACTAAAGACCCTAAATTAGTTATAAACCAAAAAAGCTGGGCCAGTGGAACTAGCAGCCTGGAGCTCCATATGGGCTGATTTAACTACTTGTCAATTATGCTGCCCCACAAATCACAGTGTCACCATAATTACTGAGCCCCATCACACCAAGTGCATTTCAAACCTAAACACACGCTTCTCAGGTTAAACCTAAATAATCTGAGAATGGGCACGTGGGCACGAAAAGCATCCTCTACAGAGCTTTGCATATTAAAAAAAAAAAAAAAAAAAAAATCAGAGAGGGGAAAAAGAGGAGGCATTTTAAAGAGTGAAAGCTTATGTCTACTAGACTCTATGCAAAGTAGAAGTCTTCATCTCAGTCAGAGATATAAGCTTCCCACACAGTGATTAATTAAACTGTCTTGTTGCTCAAATGGGAGTTGGAGAGGAGACGGCAGCACGAGCTCTCCCTGGGACTCCTGAGTCAAAAGAACAGAAGGGCTGCGGGGAAGGCAGCCCTGGGTGGTGAAGACGTGTCCCACACACCATGGGAGGGACGTGGCTGCACCAGCGATGGCAAGTGACAGGCCCTGGCAGCACCTCGGGGCCTCGCTCCTTCCCAGCACCCACCAAAAGACCTGCTTTTCCTGCCCAAGGGGTCCTGCTCTCCTGCTGTACAGAATCACAGAATCTTCTAGGTTGGAAGGGACCTTAAAGATCATCTTGTCCAACCGTCAACCTCACTGACAAAAATAGACACCCGCAAGGTCTCCCCTCAGCCTCCTCTTCTCCAGGCTGAATAACCCCAGCTCCCTCAGCCTCTCCTCATAAGACTTATTCTCCAGACCCCTCACCATCTTTGTCGCCCTTCTCTGGACCCGCTCCAGCACCTCCATGTCTTTTTTATGGTAGGGGGCCCAAAACTGGACACAGTACTCAAGGTGAGGCCTCACCAGTGCCCAGTACAGGGGGACAATCACCTCTCGGGCCCTACTCCCCACGCTGTTCCTGACACAGGCCAGGATGCTGGTGGCCTTCTTGGCCACCTGGGCACACTGCTGGCTCCTGTTCAGCCCACAGTCGACCAACACCCCCAGGTCCTTTTCTGCCCGGCAGCTCCAGCCACTCTGCCCCCAGCCTGGAGCGCTGCAGGGGGTTGTTGTGGCCCAAGTGCAGGACTTGGCACTTGGCCTTGTTGAACGGCTCAGGGTTGGAAGGAGGAAAAGCAGCTTCTTAACAAAACCCACCCAAACCAACCAATAAAAGAGAACCGCTACTTAACCCTAAGAAAATTGGGAACACATTTCCAGGAACAATAAACGTGATGAAGTTATCATATACAAGAGATCCCATTGTTTTATTTTGTTTGTCTAATTCTTCTCTCCGGATACCTAATTACCTCTCCAGATACTGGCCTAATTACCTCCTCCTGCACAGGAAGGGACACTGTGCTTAAGACATGGCCTCGAAGGAGCTGATGGGACTGGATTTCACCACTCACTGCCCTCACCTACACAGTGGCCACGTTTAAGTTAGATAGTTCTACAAAAACCAAAAGAACAAATTCACACCCCAACCTGAGGCAACTGAGGCAAGAGTGTTTTCCCCAAAGTAGTTTTTAGCAGTTTTTGTTAATTCAAATCAGCCAAATAAATCAAAGAGATGCTGAGACAATAGCACCTGTAACAACGGACAGTTCTCACTTCTCTGAATCATTAATCATCATAATTGATGTTCCTGCGGAGTATGAACGCACAACATAGAATCTGGAGCAAGATCTTGATCTTTTCATTACAGACACCAAGATACTTTCCGTGCAAGCTAAACAGTGACTGCAACCTCAGTGCAGCGAGCAGAAATCAGCTCCATTAACAGAGGCAAATCATAATTACCCAATTAGATACGTTCTTCTGTCAGTAAAAATTAATTCTCTCTGCTAAGCTCTGTCTACCCCGACATAACTCTTACAGCACATAAAAGGAGACAGGAAGGACAAATGGATGGATTCACTGCTCCGTACGCAGGGATCCTCCCGCATGGAAGCTCCTGGGAACACGCAGGGACTCTGTCCCAAAAGTCCCAGGGCTGCAGAGATGGATCCCACCGAGCCCCAGCACTCGTGGGGGGAAGCAGCCACCTTCAGAGCTTCAAGCACAGATTAATTCTCCTCCAGGTCGGCTCTGCTGGGACATTTTATAATGCATAGTGCAGAATGACCTAACACACGTGAAAATAAAGCCACGACTTGCACAGGTCAGTTCAGTCTTTTCCCTTACTTGGTTTCCCTGGTTCAGAAAGTTGATCTCCAGCCAAAATTTGACTTCTTTGCCACATCCATCCCTCGTGACAGTAACACGGGAGTCATGAGAGACTGCAGCTGGGACATGGCACAGCAGAAACTGCAGAGGCAGTGAAGCAGCTCTCTGTTGTTAGAAATGGAGTAACTACCCACCCCTCTCTTCTGTACCCATCACCAACTTAACGTGACAGGAATGAGCATTAGGCACCTTCCAGTAGGGAAAGTCCTCAACACTGAGGGACCCCTCTCCTCTCCTTGTCTCCCTCCCCTCTAACCCCTCAGAGGACATTCCAATCTCCCAAACATGTAACCACCAATGTAAGCAGCACGTGTATCTTCTAATGCATCCAGGGTACCTTTATTCCTGATCAAACTTTAGGTGACTTCTCCGTTAAAAATATCTCTCCCCGATGACCACAGTACCTCAGCCTGACCTCACAACTCCCTCAAGACAGTTTGTTTGGGATTCAGCTAACGAAAGGCAGATGATGGGTTCCACAATTCACAGAATCAGGGAATTGTTGGAGTTGGAAGGGACCTTCTAGAGCCCATCCAGTCCAACTCCCCTGCCAAAGCAGGGCTGCCCAGAGCACAGCACTCAGGAGCATCCAGGCAGGGCCTGAAGATCTCCTCACCCACCTGGGCAGCCTCTGCCAGGGCTCTGCCACCCTCACCCCAAACAAGTTCTTCCTCACATTGCAGTGGAACTTCCCATGGTCCAGCTTGTGCCCATTGCCCCTCGTCCTGTCACTGGGAACCACTGGAAAGAGTCCGGCTCCATCCTCCTTCAACCCACCCTTTAGACACTTGTCAGCATTCAGAAGGTCTCCCCTCAGCCTTCTCTTCTCCAGGCTCAAGAGCCCCAGCTCTCTCAGCCTTTCCTCAGCAGGGAGATGCTCCAATCCCTCCATCATCTCTGGTGCCCTACGCTGGACTCTCTCCAGCAGTTCCCTGTCTCTCTGGAACTGGGGAGCCCAGCACTGGAGGCAGGATTCCAGTTGTGGCCTCCCCAGTGCAGAGCAGAGGGGGAAGAATGATTCCAAGAAAAATTCACCCAAGAACTCCCTGTTTCTCCACCTGGGACACAGAGCTGACCTTGACAGCTGGCTCAGAGGAAGGTGTCTACAGTGAGTGAAGTTCACCAAAACGAATACTGCAGCATCAAACCAGCTCAGCCTTATAAATGTCTCATCAGAGCATTCAGTGATAAATTACCTTTATTACCCACTCAGAAAACATTCCTCTAAAAGCAACAAAGCCCTGCAATGTGCTCGTTGGAACAATCAGCCAAGCAAAAATCGTGTATCATCTTTCGCACGACAGATGACAGCATATCATCATAACTCACTTCGTTTCAGTTATATCATTTAATAAAGCTTTTCATTTGCAGGTCTCTCAGTAGCCAAATTACTGTACCGTTCCCCATGGCAAATAAATTTTTGCCAAATGAGGTAGGAAGCAGCACCACTGCGAGATGATTATCTGACATAAACAGGAGGATTATCTAACCCCATGCTCCAGAGAACCCCTGTCTTCCCCCATAGGATTAGATACATATTTCCCACAATTTTGCCCAGCAGCACTTACTAGAAGTCTCTGCAGACCCTGCCCAGGCAGGTGAAGAAAGGCTTCTTCTCAAAACATGCTCAGAGTTTTCTGTACCAGAAACCTTCAACATGTCTGAAATGTAGAAACAGAAGTTACTTGAACGTAAACACACAGTACTCCCTAATAACATAACATTTCATTAACAGCAAGAACCTCTTGCTTCCCACTTTTAAAACTTAAAGGCTACATTAAAGGTTTTCAACCAATGTTAAACACTGTTTAAACCTGCTTCCTGCTTTTGATTTAATTAAAAAAAATTTTTTCAGGTTCAGAGACAAGATTCAACTCAATCTGTTTTCCTAGGCTCAGTTTCCTTACTGACACCTCAACCCCAAAGCCTACACATATCTAGGAACTCTCCTGCTGGTCTCCAGAGAGCACGATTTACACAGCTCCCCCTATGAAGTCAACTTTAGGAGCCACTTTTTTCACCCTTCTCCTCGATATCATTAACCCCACAGCAATAATTCCCTATGAAAGCTAAGGACTATCCAAAAACTTCAAACCTGAAACTGATTTCAGATAAATGCGAAATAATCAAATAAAAATCACAGAATCATAGAATGGTTGGGGTTGGAAGGGACCTTAAAGGTCACCGAGTTCCAACCCCCTGCCATCATCTTAAGAATAGCACAACAATTCAAGAACATGACAGAGGTCAGTCACTGCATATTTCCAGAAACATTACCTATTTCTGGTGCTTCCCCAGCCTTTTCAGACTTTTCTGCGCGATCCTCCTCCGACATATTGGACGCTTGTCTTTTCACTGCTCTGCTGGAACCCACTCCAGAGGTGACACTGGCCACCGAGGTGAGGGGGATGGCTTGGCTGTGCTGCAGGCAGCAAGGGAAAGAGAAAACGTGAACCACACACCCATGTGTTAAACACATACCAACCCCTGGGGGGGTTCTCCCGGCCACGGTGATCAAAGACTACAGAGGGTGGCCTTGCAGTGACATCTGCCAGCTCCCTCAGCACCGGTGCGTCCCACCATGGCCCACAGACTCCTCTATGTCATTTGCTTCAGTGTTCCCTGACCTGGTCCTCCTCTACCAAGGGTACATCCTCCTTGGAACTGCCACAGGCAGAAGTGACTCGGGATGATGAACACGTCAGGATGAACACGTGACGTGCAGACCCCGCTGTGAAGTGACCCACTGCTTCCAACTTTTGGAATCTAAGCTCCTCTGAATTCCCCAGGCATGGGCGTAGGTTAGAATTTAGGGGCTGGTTTGAGCAAGTATCTCACTTCTCAAGCACTGTCATTATTAAATTAATACATAACACTTGATTTACTATCTTCTGCCCAAAGGCAACCCCCCTCTGTGCCCAGTGGCAGGCAGGCTGCACAGGGAGAGCAGATAAAACGTCCCCAAACTTACACAGTTGAAGAGCTCGGGCGTCAGACCCAGGTAGTTGTGCAACGCGAGGAACGTCACCCTCTGCAGCCTCACCATGATGATCTGGAGACGGGAAACCAAGAAGTGATAGGGATGGATTTAGCATTCTCCCACACTCGTTCTGCCATTTGGCTGCAGTTATGTACCAGAGCACCTGGAGGCACTTCATGAAACACAGACTGTACCCTGAGCTGCAATTCCTTCTTAGCAGGTGACAAATTGAGGCAAAGACAGATCCAAGTGATTTACCAAAGACTTTGCAATCACTGGATGGCACAAGGATCCAGAAGATCCTTGTTTTCCTAGGCTCAGTTTCCTTACTGACACCTCAACCCCAAGGCCTACACGTATCTAGGAACTCTCCTGCTGGTCTCCAGAGAGCACGATTTACACAGCTCCCCCTATGAAGTCAACTTTAGGAGCCACTTTTTTCACCCTCCTCCTCGATATCATTAACCCCACAGCAATAATTCCCTATGAAAGCTAAGGACTATCCAAAAACTTCAAACCTGAAACCCAAACACCAAATAATGTTTTTTGGGTTTTGTAAATAAAGTCACCTTGAAATAAATGCATTTGCTTTCATTTTTCTCCCCCTCATTAAAAAAATTATTCCAGCTTTCCCCACTGCTCTGCAGACACTCTAACGTAAGGCACCGCTGCCACCCGACCTTCCTCTGCCCTGGCACCTTATTCCCCCTCTCAAGCCATCATCTTTTTTGTATCAGCTCTCACAGAGCAAATTAAATTGGTATAATGATAATGATCTGTTCTCCTCAGCCATCAGTAACAGGAGGTTCACCTGTCACTCACAAATCATCCAGGTAGCAGAACAGTCTGCAAGGGCAAAAAGATTTAGAAGTGATAGTAAAACAAGAGGAGAGCCCAGAATGAGTGATGGGGGCACGGGCACCTGTTGGGCTGGGGTACCCCTGGCACAACACCCCCCTGGGCACACTCTCCACATCAGAATTGTTACTACACCAGCCCCTGCACCAGCTCCCACCTGCAGGATGCACAACACACGTTTGCAGTGGCTGCCTGAAAGCTGTCTGAGCTGCTGCAAAGCAAAGGAGGGTGAAAAACCCACCAGAGAGCACAGCTCATTTCTCAGGTGCTGACAGTTGCTCCTGAAGTGGAAATTCACAAGTCAGGCTGAATGTTGTTAATTTTGCAAAGCGTCATCACTCAACAAAGAGCTTCTGAGGGTACATCAGTGCTTTTCCAGATATGTGACAGTGCTGTCCAGATTCTAAGCCATTTTGAAGCCTTGTTGGTGCAAAGCACGATGCAGAGCCCAGACCAGCACATTCTCCTCCACCAGGACCAAAATGCTTCCAGGTCAAGCTCAGTCAAGAGCCCACCACAGGCAGAAACTGCTTCAATGTGTGTGTATATATATCTATATATATATATATGTATGATTTATTCCCTCCTGTATGTGATTAATGCTGAGGTCGTTAAGCCTAGGGCTCTAAGAGCAAGAGGAACAGCAGAGGTAGCCCAAATCTTGAGAAAAAGCTACACTGAACACTTCCATGTCTCCAACAGGACGAGGAGCCTGCTGAACTTCAACATGTCTTCTCTGTAACTCTGAAATTACAGCGATTTTTGCCCCCCTCCAATTCCACACACCACCACAGCTTACCTGTACCACTCTAACAAGAGTTTCGGGGTATTTCTGGAAGACGTCTTGAAAGGCACTTGCTGGCAGCTGCAATATAGTGGAGGGAACGGCCGCTCGGGCTGCCACCGTTTTATAGGGAGCAGGGTGACCCTAACAGAAAGTTTCAGAGACACAAGGTTAATTCAGCAATTACCTGACCCAGTCCTTCCCCATCGCTTCCCAAATTTCTGCTTTGATATTGTATATGCTTGACCCCATCTGACCCCAAAAAGCCTCAAACTTACTCTCTGTGACCCGCGGTTGCTGCAATGAGGGCAGCGTGGTCAGAGGAACCCACACCAGCCACTTCACCCGCGTTAAACCGAGACAGAGGGAGAGAAACCAGAGCCCCAGGAAGGGCTATCAGGTTTAGGGGACCGGCTTTATTACAGACAAAGCCAAACTAGAGAAGGATTTCAAGTTCCAGCTATTCAAGACTGCGGAGAAAAGAGGTTTAGTTGATTTTATTATCTGTACTGAGCTATTTGCTGCAGTAACAGTCACAGACTCATACAATCAGCAAAAAATATAATATAAAAAAATCATATAGTAATTACATACATAATGGAATAGGCAAAAACCCAGGCAGACTTCTGTTCTGAGATACATATATTCATATATATATATATATATATATATGAAACGTTCCAAATGACAAAGCCAAACGGCTTCTCTTTACTGGAGATAAACTGGGTCTTGATCATCCCGAGTTGCTCGAAGAACAGATGGAGAATTAAGAAACCAATGAAAGATAAAATTCCAAGTGGGTAGAACGCGGAGATTTTTATACTGGCAGGCAGGCCTCCGGTTCAGGATTTTCCCCCTTGAATCAAAATAGATTTTAAAAAATCTACTGCCAAACACTTGGGTAAAAAACTCCAGACAACACCCCTCCCCCTCCATTAGTAAATGCTGAAAAGAATACGTATAAGTCAGGAATTCATTTACTAATCCCTGAAACCCTGATTTATCCAATATCTCTAAGATAAAAGCAGTCCTTTTGCAGCACGGAGCAGGAGCAGGAGCTGAGGAAGAAACTGAGTTTCTACTTTAACACACTCACAGCTCCTGCAGCTTTCATTCCTCCCGAGCAGCAGAAGGCAATTTTTTCCGAACACTAAACACACAGATGCTAAATGCTGATTACGAACCAAAAAACTTGCAAGTCTTCCAGAGCATCAGACAACTAAACACAATCCCCGCGAAAGGATTCCTGCCTAAAGAACTCGGCGGAGCCAAACTAGAGTCATTCTGGACAACTCGAACCGCCACGGAAAATAAAGCTCCAGCTCTGCCTGCCTTGCTGGTCTGGGAGTCACGATGAAGCAGATTCTAAAATTAAATTAAATTAATTGGAACCAATTTCTTAATTACACCGGTTTCAGCTGACCTTTTTATAAAATCTGGGGATGGTATTAATAGCTTTGATTTTCAAGTTCCTGAGGGATTTGAAGTTTTAAACATCTCTTTGACCTACCAGCCGTCCTCCGTTTTCCCAAGTTTCTTTCAATTAAGTAAAGAAATTAACAAATTACATTTCTGTGCCTTTTGCTGTACCAAAAATAAATCCAACATTCCTCTTTTAAAGACCAGTTCACAGCAGGGCTTCAGAGGAAGAAGTCATTTGGAATTCTCCTTATACTGAAATGTAAAAAAAAAAAATGTATGTAGCCTGCTTTTAAGAAAATCAACTTGCCATCAACTGGATTTCCCACCAACCTCTGTACCGAATACATTGGGAAAAACTAAGGAAATCTATTAAATCTTTAGTCACTGGATAAAAGATAAGCACCAAATCTAACATCTATGCACCTAAGTCTAAGTGGTTAATGGCACAGAATCCAGTCGGAGGTCCATAACAAGTGGTGTTCCCCAGGGGTCAGTACTGGGTCCAGTCCTCTTCTATATATTCTTATATTATCAATGGTTAACTAAACTAACTAAATATATAGTAACTAAAGTTACTATATATTCTTATAGTATCAATATACTCATATATATATGGGAGGTGGTGGAGTCTCCATCTTTGGAGGTATTTAAGAAACATGTAGACATGGCTCTTCATGGCATGCTCTAGTGCCCAAGATTATTGGTTTGTGGTGGGGTGTTGTGTGTGGGGTTGTGGGTGTGGGGTTTAGTCGGTGGGTGGTGTTTTGGGGGGTTTTTTTGGTGTGGTTTTTTTTTTTTTGGTGTTTGTTTGGTTTTTTTGTTTTTGTTTTTTTTGTTGTTTTTTTTTTTAATGTGGTTGGACTCGATCTCGGAGGTCCCCTCCAACCACTAAGATTCTGTGATTCATCAATGACCTGGATGAGGGGATGGAATGTACCCTCAGCAAGTTCACTGATGATACAGCACTGGGAGGGGTGGCTGACACCCCAGAAGGCTGTGATGCCATCCAGAGAGACCTGGACAGGCTGGAGAGTTGGGCAGAGAGGAACCTGATGAAATTCAACAAGGGCAAGTGCAGGTGCTGCACCTGGGGAGGAATAACCCCCTGCACCAGGACAGGTTGGGGTGACCTGCTGGAGAGCAGCTCTGAGGAGAAAGACCTGGGAGTCCTGGTGGACAACAGGATGCCCATGAGCCAGCAATGGGCCCTGGTGGCCAAGAAGGCCAGTGGCATCCTGGGGGCATCAGGAAGAGTGTGAGCAGCAGGTGGAGGGAGGTCATCCTGCCCCTCTGCTCTGCCCTGGGGAGGCCCCAGCTGGAGCACTGGGACCAGTTCTGGGCTCCCCAGCTCAAGAAGGACAGGGAACTGCTGGAGAGGGCACAGCAGAGGCTACAAAGATGATGAGGGGCCTGGAGCATCTCTGGGATGAGAAGAGGCTGAGGGACTTGGGTCTTTTGAGTCTGGAGAAGAGAAGGCTGAGGGGGGATCTGATCAACGCCTGGAAATACTTAAAGGGTGGGTGTCAGGAGAATGGGGCCAGGCTTTTTTCAGTGGTGCCCAGGGACAGGACAAGAGGAAATGGGCACAAACTGGAACATGGGAAGTTGCATCTAAACATGAGGAGGAACTTCTTTCCTGTGAGGGTGGCAGAGCCCTGGAAGAGGCTGCCCAGGGAGGTGGTGGAGTCTCTGGAGATATTCCAAACCCTCCTGGACACGTTCCTGTGCAACCTGCTCTGGGTGGACCTGCTCTGGCAGGGGGTTGGACTGGATGATCTCCAGAGGTCCCTTCCAACCCCACAGCATTCTGTGAGTCTGTGACTCTGTATCACATTTACATGGTTTACATTCTACCCAGTAAAGTGACTTTTTTTTTTCCTGAGTGGTGCCTGTTTGAGCACAGACCGACGCTGACAGCCCCTTAGAAAACCAGCTTTAGGATAATAAAAGATAATGATGCAGCCGCCTTTTCCTCCAAAGAACAGCCCATCCCTCCAGTTTTTCAGCGTGTTATTTTTCCTTTTTGCAGTCCCTGTGTGTGAGCAGCTGCTTTCCAAAGGGCCAACCACCACCTCTAATCGGGTTGGAACATGCTAAAAGCTGTCGGAGGAACGTGAAGAGGAAACGTCCCCATAATTGTCAAGTCCCTTAGACATAATGTAATCAGCTGCACAAGGAGAACACCATGATGACATGTAATCAGCTGCACAAGGAGAACACCATGTTTAAATGATGATAGTCACATACTGAGGTCACAAGGAACAGTTAAGTTATCATTGGTACTGAACGAAGGGTTTTTCAACAGAGAACTTTTTGTTCTGAGCACAGATAACTATTTACGTCTGTCTTGCTCTAATTGCTGGGGAGTAATTCAATGCTGCAGGTGACAAACCTCACAGCTAAAGCAGTAGTTGAATCCAGATGACAGACAGTGGCCAAATCCCACTGAATTTAGTTAAGAAATCATGGAATCATAACATCACAGAATGGTTTGGAAGGGACCTTAAAGACCACCCAGCTCCACCCCCTGCCCTGGGCAGGGACACCTCCCACCAGACCAGGTTGCTCAAAGCCCTGTCTCTGCTACAAAAAAAGGCCACAAAGTCCCAAATGTGCTACAAGAGACAGAGGTGCCTCACATTCTCCCACCTGGAGTGCTAATTCCTTTTTGTATCCCAAAACCTGGGACATTCTCCCTATTCCCATTGCTTGGCTTTCACCTTCCTCTGGTCCTCCTGCCCATCCTTCGTGCTGCATGGACACTGCTAAGTTCTTGCAGCAATCAATTACTTCATCACAACCTCACCTACCACGTCCGCTGTTGTTCAGACAGACTCCAGCCCCGCAGGCCCACCTTTATCCAAGTGTTTTTTCAGCTTCTTTTAATCCTCAGACTTTCATTTTTTTCCCCTTCAGTCACTGGCAACTGATCAATATTCCTCCCAGTCTCTTCATTCCAGCTGTGCCACATGCTCAGGGGTCTCCAAACACCAGCTCCACACGGAGGACAAAGGAAAAGCAAACCCCAAAGTCCTTGCAATTGGCATCAAATACCGTCTTATTCATCACATTTAACTCTGAGAGAAAATTCACCATTTCAGGAGCAGATCTGACCTACACGGGGGCAGAGCAAGCTCTCGGCAACAGCTCCTGAAAACACCCGCGTGGACTCCAACAACATCCAATTCAGACAATTCTTTAATATTAGAGGCAGCATCAATTCAGAGTCAGATTAATTACAACGCAGAGTTGTTCCAAAACACCAGGGAAGGGACAGCATCTGCCCGGATTCAAAGCCTCCCACTTCTCCTCCGAGTTTCGAGAAAGCAGCACTTATCTCTTCTCAGAACGAAGGGAACAGAGCACAAGCCTCTTAAGTCAGAGCTGGTATCTTTGAGTTTAGTAGATCTAAGGGGACTTTTCAATTTAAAATATTGGAAAATTCAATTAGAAAAGTACCTCTTGTGTAACCTTTCTTTTAGATCCAACAACAAGAGGTCACCACTTCTTGCTGCAACTTCAATTTTCTTGCGCTTCTCTCACCCAAGCCGGGGACCAGCCTGACGTCAGACGTTACAAAAGCAGTCAAAGAAACCACAAATCCAGCTCAGACAACTCCAAGCCTCTCTGAATACATTCTTTCTTTGTGTCAGAGCCATGTGTCTGGCAGTACAGTGAAACTTAATTAAGATTACGGTGTCTGCAGGAAGTTCTACGCCTCATTCACTGCTTTGGAACCCCACTGAGAAGCCACCTCTATTTTGACCAACCCTACTTTCTCTTTCCTTGCCCATTTTCATGCTACTCCTACACCTCAAGTCAGCAAAGAGCGTAAGGGAGAGGAAAAACAGAAATAAAATGACCACTTCACAAAGCTGGGAAACGAGGGAAAAATGAGAGAGTTGTAAAAATAAATGAGAACAAGTTGACGTAGCCAAAAAAAAAACCCAAAACCTGCAAGGATTTTGGTTATACACTCTTCCACACACTGGTAACTTTTCAACACACTTTCAGTAATTTTTATTTTCTGATTTACCAGTGGTATAACTAATGAGAAACAAATGATAGAATGAGAATTAAAAAAAAAACAAAACCAAAATGACACACAAAATGAATGGCAATGACCTGTTAAAAAAACCCAAACCCCAAGCCATTGTTAGACAGGAAGGATTTCTTCTCATTTATTCAAAAAGAACATAGGAAAAGAATTCATGTATTCATGTTCCCATATGGTGGGCCCGCTCTTCAGAATATTGACATTAAGAAAATGTACTGGTGGAAGTAACAAGGGCAAAATAACTCTAAATCTGCTATTACTATGGATTTAACAGCAAGAACTAGACTTGTACAGTCCAAATTACTCACACGCTGTTACCTTCTACAGAAGGAAGTGTGACCATGCTTAAAAATTGTTTATCACTTTCAATAGGTTTTATGGAAATTATATATATATACACACCTGCTGGCACCTAGAAGCAGCAAAGAACAATTTACAGAATCGTTAAAACTACTTACACATCAAATAACGGTACCCTTTAATGAAAGGAGACAGATGAGCACAAGAGAAACACGACACAAGGTCAGAGATGAACAACTCATTGATTAGTTTTCATCCTCATCCTCTCAACTACCAAAATCCTTCAAGTAAGCACTTGAAGTGCGTGCGTGTTATTGAAGATGAATTCACCACCTTCGCTTTAAGTGTTCCACCATAGATGGGCTGTGACAATTGCAGCAAAGCCACCGTTGTCATTCCAACCAAAACAAACCCCCCACTAATTAGCGTGGTAACGATGGGCAGCTCACATTGAGCTCATCTCGTCGCCCGCCAAAGAGCACAACCTTCAGATGGTCACCAGCAACATTAACGTATTAGGAAGAAATTAAATCCATCAACTGGTTTCACAGTATAATTACAATAATAACAACAGGCAGATTTATCTTCATTAGACTAAATAAAAATAAATTCAGTAAGCAACAAATCAAGCAGCGTAAAAAGCCTGGACTTCTGGGCTTCAGTAAGCAACAAATCAAGCAGCGTAAAAGCCTGGACTTAACCTGGTCCTCCTCCTGGCTGCTTTGTGACCTTGAGCAAACCAAAGCACATCTCAGTTTTCCAGCCATAAAAGAATAATTCAAATCCTACTGTTTATCAGACGCAGCCAGCGTTACGCTGTCAAGTGTAGGTGTTTCACAACCAACTAACACCCCACAGAGCTAAGTCTACAGCTGTGAAGGCCTGGGAGGAGGAAAAGAATGGATCCAATTTTCCACCCTGATCCTCTCCTAGCAATATTCCAAGCACGTTTCTCCCAAGAGGCTGCGTGCCACGAAGCAGCGCCGCAGAAAACCTGCACCTTCAGGAACTTACCGTGATGACATCGAGAATGCTGAGAAGGCTGTGGACGTTGTCTCCTGCCAGCACCTCCTTCACCACCACTTCTGTCCCATCCTGCCAACAGAGATGAGGAGATCACTGCGGGCTCACAGCTGCAGATCGGGCACGTATGGGGCATCCCACAAAGCTTAACTTGCTCTCATTCAGATGTCATCTACCTTGACTTCAGCAAGGCTTTTGACACTGTCTCCCATAACATCCTCATTGGGAAACTGAGGCAGTATGGGCTGGATGAGGGGACAGTGAGGTGGATTGAGAACTGGCTGTGTGACAGGACCCAAAGGGTAATGATTAATGGAGCAGGTTCAAGCTGGAAGCCTGTAACCAGTGGAGTCCCCCAGGGGTCAATACTTGGACCCGTGCTGTTTAATATATTCATCAGTGACCTGGATGAGGGGACAGAGTGTATCCTCAGCAAGTTTGCTGATGATACCAAACTGGGAGGGGTGGCTGACACCCCGGAGGGCTATGCTGCCATCCAGCGAGACTTGGACAGGCTGGAGGGCTGGGCAAAGAAGAACCTCATGAGGTTCAACAGGGAAAAGTGTAGGGTCCTGCACCTGGGGAAGAAAAATGTCAGGTACCAGTATAGGTTAGGGGTGGACCCGCTAGAGGCAACTACTGAAGAGAAAGATCTAGGGGTCCTGGTGGACAGTAAAATGACAATGAGTAAACAGTGTGCTCTTGTGGCCAGGAAGGCCAATGGTATCTTGGGTTGTATAGGGAAGAGTGTAGCCAGCAGGTCAAGGGAAGTCATTCTCCCCCTCTACTCTGCACTGGTGAGGCCACAACTGGAGTACTGTGTCCAGTTCTGGGCTCCCCAGTTCAAGAGGGACAGGGAACTACTAGAAAGAGTCCAGCGTAGGGCTACAAAGATGATTCAAGGATTGGAGCATCTCCCTTATGAGGAGAGACTGAGAGAGCTGGGACTCTTTAGTCTGGAGAAGAGAAGGCTGAGGGGAGACCTTATCAACGCCTACAAGTATCTCAAGGGAGGGTTGAAGGAGGAGGGAGCCAGACTCTTTTCAGTGGTTCCCACTGAGAGGACGAGGGGCAACGGGCACAAGTTGGAACATAAGAGGTTCCACTCAAATATGAGGAGAAACTTCTTCACGGTGAGGGTGACGGAGCCCTGGAAGAGGCTGCCCAGGGAGGGTGTGGAGTCCCCTTCCTTGGAGATTTTCAAGACCCACCTGGATGCTCCTGAGTAACATGCTCTAGCTCTAGGCAATCCTGCTTCAGCAGGGGAGTTGGACTAGATGATCTCTATGGTCCCTTCCAACTCTAAAAAATTCAGTGAAATTCAGTGAAATTCTCCCAGATACTCTGAGCAGCCCAAAAAGAAACCATCCCCCATTATAGCTTAGATACTTATTTTCTCTCTGCTCTGGTGGAAATGTGCTAATTCAAAGCACCAAAGTTTCAAACCACGATTCTAAAAGTGATAAAGAAACTAAAAGGCAGTTTTGTCCACGGGGAGGTGTGACCTCCTTGTCTTTGCTACGTAACAACCAAAAAAAATAAAAAAATAAAAAAAAAGCTTCCTTCTCTCAGAGCCAGAATGAGCTCCCTTTACTGAGGGGCTACATGTCAAGAGGTAGCAAAAAACAAATAACAGCAAAAGGCAAAAATATACAGAAATCGGTAAATTTCAGATAACTTACAAACACAAAATCCCTGCATTTTCAGCCCTCAGAAAACTGTTCACACGTTAAAGCTACACTCAAAGGTCAGTTAGGATGAAGGGGAGGAAAAAATAAGTCTGAAGTGACAGAAGGAATGGCAGGGGTTAGCACTCAACGTTTGAAGACTCACCCATAAAACAAACCAACATTTCTCTCTTCCCTTTTTACCCAAAAGTGAGTCTGAATCTTCCCCCTCCCAGGCAAACCCACCGACCACCACACGAGAATGTTCTGGAGTGTGGTCTCCCCCTCCCCATACACCTCTGTTTGGGGAACCACCAGCCAAGAGGAGAACCTTTCCTGGCCGTGCAGAACACATTTGCACCCTGTCCTCCCCTAAGAACTACGTGACCAGAGGGTGAGAGGACATTTCAGAATGTCTGATCAGCATCATGTTCCTCTCTCTCATCAAAGACCCAGGGGGGGTCACAGCTAAAAAACCTGATCTTTAGAAATACCACAGCCCTGAAGGGTTGGAAGTAATCCCTTCTAAATCACTATGATTCAAATGTCTAACCTTAATCAATGCTTAATGATTCATGGCAACCTATACGCTATGCCAACAGATTTATCTCAAGAACAGCAGATCAGTTTATTCTTACACTTTCTTGAATGCAAACTTCCAGCCTGCCCTCCTGCACGACGTAGATGCTGTTATCCGGCTGCCCCGGGCGGAAGATGTATTCACCTTCGTGCAACTGCACGTAGAACATGTGCTTGCACAGCTCCAGGAACAGAGGTTTCTCAAAGTGGCCAAGGACCCTGCAGAAAACACCAAGGGAAATCTAAAATCACCACCGCCCTTGGAAAATCCTTCCTAAATTAAAGCCCCCCGGCGTGGAGAGCAGGGGAAGCCAGAGGCAGTTCTGCGCAGCGCAGCAGGAGCAGAACTCCCCAGAGCAGAAGCACAAGAGCACCATGAAATGCTGAAAACTGAAAATACTGGAGTTTCTTTTTTTGAGCAGCACCGCGAGTGACACCAGCTTCCCAAGGAAGCATATCCAGCCTTCCTCAAGCAAACATAACCTTTGAAGGGGAAGAAATACAAAAACCTGCAACAGATTCACACATTGCATGAAAAAAGTTTACCCTTTGGAACTTTCCCTTTTAATACAGCTTCCCTGTCCAGGGAATCAGAACACGTGAGAAATATGGAAAATAAAGGGAAAAATCCCTGTCGTGCACATCCTTGTAAGTTTGGAATATTCCATCTCCTGCAGGTAACGTGCAGCTGGACTCCTGTGATACTGGAACTCATCAGGCAGACAGACAGACAGACAGACAGACGTGCCCTAAACCCGCTCGTTCTGTGCACGGGACAAGAAGGGCCCTTCCTACAGCTCCACCAGCTCCACATTTAACAGCACCAATCAATCAAAATCTACTGCAACATCAATTAGTCATAGGAGACCATAATTCCACAGTAGAAAGTTCAGATGATTTAAATAACAGTTTTATTACAGTACATCTGACCTTCAGGACTGAATTATATCCTAACTGAGAGAAAAATGCACACACACAAACAAAGCCAGAATTACAGGTCTGAGATCTCGTGCTCTTTGCTGAGTCAGCAAAATCACCTTGACTGAAGGGGCACAAAGCCCATCCCTTCCTCTCAGCCCACCAAAGAGCTGGGAGGATTAAGGTGACTTTGATTCTGCTTGCAACCTTTTGAGCCACAGAAATAAAAGATTCTGCAGTTTAGAGAGTTGTCAATATGGAATCCAATTAACATTCACCAATGATGATGCCTTTCTAGACCAAAAAATTACCTGGTATAGTCTAAAATGAATTTTAAAAAAGTACTAACAGAAATCTGTTCATGTTAGAAAAGCTTTATTATCATTATCTCCAAATCAAATTTAGGCCACTAATCTACATCCCTTTTTTTAAAAAACAAAAAAAAAAAAGAACACACTCAACCGTTTTCTTAATGTTTCTAGAAAATTAGAAGTCAGTCATTTTTTCCCCATGCTCAGCTGAACTTTCAGTCAACTGCTTAAAGACTCTGCCCACACAGTGATAAAATTGGTCTTGACTTAAAGGCTTGACACAAACCGCTAAATATGTAGATCGTTTTCACATCCGGCAAAAGCAAAATCCAAGCTTATCTTTCCATTTAACATTACCTAACGTTTTTAAGCATGTACAGGACTTCTGCTGGCAAATGGGAATTCTTTGCATCAAATTCAGCCAGGTCAGCCTCTAGCAAAGAGGGAGGCGGTTCCTTGGGCTGCAGGGTCGGACTCTCCTTCTTGATACGCAGAATCCTACAAAGGAAAACATGTAAGAAAGTTCAGGAATTCTCCTCATTTGTTTTAAGTACGGGCTCTCTGCTGACACCAGAGGCTGGCTGCAACATTAAACACACATCACACCAAGGTACACATTATCTAGTAGATAAAACAGTAGCATTCCACCCTCCTGCCTTTCCCGAGTAAAACCAGAGACTGCGCTGCATAAACCCCTCCATTCCAGCAACTTCCCAGCATAAACCCCTCCATTCCAGCAAAATTCCCAGCACAAACCCCTCCATTCCAGCAAAATTCCCAGCACAAACCCCTCCATTCCAGCAAAATTCCCAGCAAAACGCCGGGCTGAGGCACAGCTGTGAAAAACCAGCAGCGATGGAAAAGCACCATGCTGGGGACTGGTTCCACACCACAAACGAAAAAAACCCCACAAAACCAGCCTCCAGGGCAGGAATTTTCCCCCTCCCGAAACCCCAAGTACCTTTTAGCCAAAGATAAAACCTTTGTCCGCTTCCGCATCCTTTGGCGAGGCACGGTGTTCCCCACCAGGGAGTTTGGAAGCGTTCTAACCTAGGCGGAAATAACGAAGTTATGATGAATTTGGGGTTGGAAATCCATGATCTTTAAGGTCCCTTCCAACCCAAACCCATTCTATGAAATAAAGAAAATAAAAACACTCACTAAAAACCAAAACAAACAGAAAAACCCCAAACCAACCCACTAGTTTCAACCCTGCAAAGGCTCCAGCTCATGGGAACACGAGCCGAGTGAAGCGCTCACACAAAGACCTTGGAGGACTGGAACAACACCTTCTCCAGGAAGAGTTTCTTTCTGGAAAGTGAGGGTATTTTGGTTTTAATAAGCAACTACTGCAGTGGTAATGGATGGTAGAGGGGAAATGACCCTTAACTGTATGGTTCTCACGCAGAAGCACTCAACAACAGGCAGAGAAGGGCATGTTTAGTTTGGAGAAGAGGAGGCTGAGGGGAGACCCCATTGCCCTGTACAACTGCCTGAAGGGAGGTTGTAGAGAGGTGGGGGTTGGCCTCTTCTCCCAAGGGAATAATGACAGGAGCAGAGGAAATGGTCTGAAGTTGGGGCAGGGGAGGTTTAGATTAGATATTGGGAAGAATGACTTTCCTGAGAGGGTGGTCAGGCCCTGGAACAGCCTGCCCAGGGAGGTGGTGGAGCCACCATCCCTGGAGGGATTTAAGAACTGTGTAGGCGTGCTCTAGTGCCCGGGATTGTGGGGGTCTTTTGTGTGTGTGTGTGTGTGTGTGTGGTTGGACTCAGTGATCTCAGAGGTCCTTTCCAACCATGACGATTCTGTGACCTACGGCTCCAGTCCTCCTGTGGTGGTCTGTGATGGGGACAAACCAGGGCTGTGCTCGTTTCTGAGCCGGTGACAAACAGCACCAGAGACACCCAGCGAGGCTTTTGCTGGTTTTGAACAGTTCCTAAGTGCCACCTTCTGGAGAAAGCCAACAACTGCGAGACCAAGAAAAAGATCTCTACTTTCAAAACATGACTAGTTCTCTCTCTGTTTCTCAGGGAGTTGAATCCCAGGAAAAGGTTTCTCTCACACACAAAAAAAAAAAACAAACCACCCAAAACCAAAACAAAACTTTAATTAGTTTGGAGACTCACTTTGTAAGGTTTTACTTTTAGAAAGTAAAATCTTGGTATTTTATCAAAAATACACAAAATACAGTCAACAGCAGCCTTTAGTGTTTTATGTCTTATTTAGGAAGAAAAGCAAGGTCTAAAACCCCAAAGCAACGCTACCTGAGATGACTTTGCCATGTGGAATTCCAAGCATTCTTTACTTTTGTGTGTTACACACAACCAACCCTGATAAAGAGTATTAAGCTGAAGAAGTTGCTGGCAACACACAGGATTTCCTTTCACTGGGGGCTTTTTTTGGGCAAGTCCTACACAAAGGCTGACCTGCAACTCAAAAGCCAGGTTTTGGGAGGCATCTCCTCCCTCCACAACCAAACACAGCCACACAACTGATTATTAAAACCAGCACAGTGACTAATTATTAAGCCCGAGTATTTGCCTTCACCTCAAGAAAGCTCAGCAGTGCGCAAGGCCGTGGTGGCTCACAGGAGAAGTGTTCCTCAGCAAGCAGTGACTAACGAAGGACATTTACTTACCTGTACCTTCTTTTTCTACAGGTGCTGTTTTAAGTGCCCTGGCAGTGTGGGCACACACCCGGACTCGAGCGAGGTGTCCCCAGGGCACAGCCAGGACACCGCAGCTCCACTACAGTCCCCACAGGGGCCAGTCCCGATCCCACCTCGCAGCTCCCCAGGGCTGGAGCATCCATCAGACCCACACCCTGGCTGTGACCCCACAGGACAGCAGGAAGGGAACACTTACACTGTCAAAATAGCCTTTTCCTTCACCAACCACCTGTATCTCCAGATACAAGTGAGTAATAACCATTTGCTACAGTAAAAAGGGGTCAGAGTCCTCACCCAAGTATCATGGAATTGTCAGAGTTGGAAGGGACCTCTAGAGCCCATCCAGCCCAACTCCCCGGCCAAAGCAGGGCTGCCCAGAGCACAGCACTCAGGAGCATCCAGGTGGGGCTTGAAGATCTCCAGAGAAGGGGACTCCACACCCTCCCTGGGCAGCCTCTGCCAGGGCTCTGCCACCCTCACCCCAAACAAGTTCTTCCTCCCATTGCAGTGGAACTTCCCATGGTCCAGCTTGTGCCCGTTGCCCCTCGTCCTGTCCCTGGGAACCACTGGAAAGAGTCCGGCTCCATCCTCCTTCAACCCACCCTTTAGACACTTGGAAGCATGAAGAAGGTCTCCCCTCAGCCTTCTCTTCTCCAGGCTCAAGAGCCCCAGCTCTCTCAGCCTTTCCTCAGCAGGGAGATGCTCCAATCCCTCCATCATCTCTGGTGCCCTACGCTGGACTCTCTCCAGCAGTTCCCTGTCTCTCTGCAACTGGGGAGCCCAGCACTGGAGGCAGGATTCCAGTTGTGGCCTCCCCAGTGCAGAGCAGAGGGGGACAATGACCTCCCTCCACCTCCTGGCCACACTCTGCCCTACGCAGCCCAGGATCCCATTGGCCTCTTGGCCACAAGGGCCCATTGCTGGCTCATGGAGAGTTTACTATCCACCAGGATCCTTCTCCTCAGCAGTGCTTTCCAGCAGGTCCACCCCTGACCTCTATTGGTGCCTGGGGTTCTTCCTCCCCAGGTGCAGGACCCTACACTTGCCTTTGCTGCACAGATTTTGGTATGGGAGGAGTAAATAGGGAAGGCACCTTGGCATCCAGGACCTTCTGCACAAGCTTATCACCAACCCAAACACAAACCCTCTGCCACTCGTGACACCTCTGCGAAGGTGAGTTCTTTTCACCAGGGGGATACTGTCAGTCAGAAAAAGAAGGAATCTCACATTCCACATACACACTGTATTTTGAGGAGAAAGACAGGAAAATTAAACTCCTCAGTCAAACGAAACCCAGGCGATGGGTGCTGAACACCCAGCATGTCTCCTGAGGTTAACCTCATCCATTAAAGACACGTCTGCCTTCAGGTTTCCTCAAGCCTTCTTGTGGCAATTTCCCAGCATCAGCCACTTGCAAAGAAAAAAGTAAAAAGCAAGCAAAAACCAGCACTAAATATCCAAGAGGCAGCCATAGGCTTGAAGGATTTAACCAACTGATGCAGAAACAGACTCCTGACTAATGGAAAATTCTTGAGGAGACCTTCCAGAATAACAGGGCAGGAACAACATTGGCAGAGGACCCTGAAGGACAGGTAGTTATTCCTTGTGAGAATCCAAAGCAAAGAGGTCAATCTTGGGATAAACAGTCTCTGATGAGACAGTTTGGTGAGTCCTACTTGCAATTCAGTACAAGGGCTTCATAGGCTGAAGTCCTTGGTGCTCTTCACAGGGAGAGGGCAGAAAGGTAAATCTGAGGATCTACTCCATGGACAGATTCACAGGGGAAAGGAGGTGCCAGTTTTGAATTTAACAGGAGTTAAAGTCATTATCTGAAAAGGACAATCCTGAATATGGGCACTGAATATCTCAAATATAATCCTAAATACTGAGAAATAGGAAGGGGGCAGACTCTTCTTAGTGGTGCCCAGTGACAGGACAAGAGGGAAGGGGCACAAACTGGAACACGGAGAGTTCCATCTGAACACGAGGAACTTCTTTGCTGTGAGGGTGGCAGAGCCCTGGCAGAGGCTGCCCAGGGAGGTGGTGGAGTCTCCTTCTCTGGAGACATTCAAACCCGCCTGGACACGTTCCTGTGGGACCTGCTCTGGGTGGACCTGCTTTGGCAGGGGGTTGGACTGGATGATCTCCAGAGGTCCCTGCCAGTCTGGGATTCCGTGTAAGACAGATTACTACAGGTATATAAAACCCTTCAACTCCATATTGGAGTTAGATTTCCCCTTACCCTCGGAGTCTGCAAATATTCTTGAAAGAGGAAAGGTTTGGCCACAACAAGAAGCTGTTGCTGTTTCATCAGCAATTCAGGCAGAATCGCAGGAGCTGTGAAATATCCCCAAAATTCCAGTGAATTTTTTGAAGGCCCTGGGCCATGCTAAGCAAGTGCAGCATTGTGAGTTTACAACATCTCCCAAACTGGATTTTAATCTGTACTTCCCCCTCGCCGCTTACCTTTCTCATGATCTTCCGCCCGTAGAACATCACTTTGTCTCGTTTGCGAAACCGGTACTGAGGGACGTGGGGCTGGAGTTGTTCTGGAACAGAGAAGGGGCATCACATCAGAACCCATCCACAGGTCCACGCCGAGTGTCCCGGTTTGAGGTAAAACCAGATCAATTTTGTGTTCTGTAACTTTGCATTTTAGTTAGGTCTTTTCTAACTCTCTGAAATTAACAGCATATTGTGGAGAAAACTGGTCCTTCTCAGAGGGATAAGACCAATGTTTGTGCTACATGCCAGGGAATGGTATGTAGAGAGGCCCTTGCTTATACTTATTGCTCTAACAACCAAGGGCAGCCAATTTTCATTACTTGCCCCTTAGAGGGTCGGAAACGGAAAAACGTAGAGGGGTCACATCTGTGGGGAGGAACGGACAGGACAGGTGACCCAAACCTGACCAACAGGGTATTCCATCCCATCTGCCCCATGCTCAGTATAAAAGCTGAGGGATCAAAGGGTCAAGGCTCTTCCTGCAATGGCCGACGTCCGAAGAGGACCCTGTCTGTTCATCTGCCTTTGATCCCCATGTGTTCCTGACTCCAGAGCTGGAATCCTGCTCCTGTCCATCACCGAGTCCAGGCTGGGACTTCCCCAGTGCCTGCTGGTGACGGGACTGTCATCCTGGGAGCTTGATACGTTTTTGTATATGTGCTGTATCTATTTCATTATTTTCTTCTCTTTTATTTTAATATTATTTTTAATTAAAGTAGTTTAGTTAATTCTAAACTTTTCAATCTCCTTATCTCTTCCTCTCCTCTTTCGGGGGGGGGGAGGGGAAGGGCCATCTGTTGGTTCAGTTGCGGTGATTTCGGCTTAAACCACGACACTGAGGGAAAGAAAACCCAGCTCAGGCTGTCAGTGTCACTCCCTCCATAACAGCTCCGGCTACCGAGCGTCGAGCTCTCATGGCCAGCCTTTGGAATTTAAACCCACACATGACACCTCCTTACCCAACCCTGGGGAGCCAAACCAGAGTGGGGAAGAGCTGCCTTGAGGCTCTGTCTAACCACTGGAGGAGATAAAAGGGCTCTCCAAATAGATCCAGGGATAAAGTAATCTTAATCTCACAAAGAAAACCTCTAATTCACCTGGTTCTCCTTACTCTAACAGGGAAATGGCAGCAGGGTTGAAGTTATTTGCCTGCTCACTGAGCCAGCAATGTGTCCTTGTGGCCACGAGGCCAATGGGATCCTGGGCTGTGTAGGGAAGAGTGTGGCCAGGAGGTGGAGGGAGGTCATTCTCCCCCTCTGCTCTGCACTGGGGAGGCCACAACTGGAATCCTGCCTCCAGTGCTGGGCTCCCCAGTTCCAGAGAGACAGGGAACTGCTGGAGAGAGTCCAGCGAAGGGCACCAGAGATGATGGAGGGATTGGAGCATCTCCCTGCTGAGGAAAGGCTGAGAGAGCTGGGGCTCTTGAGCCTGGAGAAGAGAAGGCTGAGGGGAGACCTTCTTCATGCTTCCAAGTGTCTAAAGGGTGGGTTGAAGGAGGATGGAGCCGGACTCTTTCCAGTGGTTCCCAGGGACAGGACGAGGGGCAACGGGCACAAGCTGGACCATGGGAAGTTCCACTGCAATGTGAGGAAGAACTTGTTTGGGGTGAGGGTGGCAGAGCCCTGGCAGAGGCTGCCCAGGGAGGGTGTGGAGTCCCCTTCTCTGGAGATCTTGAAGCCCCACCTGGATGCTCCTGAGTGCTGTGCTCTGGGCAGCCCTGCTTTGGCAGGGGAGTGGGACTGGATGGGCTCTAGAGGTCCCTTCCAACTCTGACAATTCCATGATTCTGTGATTCCATGACTGATACTAAGGCCATCACACACTAGAGAAATAAAATCCTCGAGCATCCTGCACCTGACAGTTACGAATCCCCTGTTCAGGCCTGGGTCAGTGAATCAACACAAGTTCTTCATCCTTTTAAAGCTCCCTTCCTTCAAGAACCACTAGCTTCACAACAAGCAATTATTACGAGCTGGCATAGAATCTACCATATATTATTACAAAATACTGAAGATAGCTGAGAAAACTGTTTATAAAAAATACATAATTTTTTTTGAGTACTTACTAGACTGTTTCACTCTTCTGTAAACGACAAACACAACAATTGCTATCAGCAGTAACGCAACTGCAGCTCCAATTGCCATCCCCGTCAGCTGTGAGAGGAATTGAGAGGAAACCAGTTAGTAAATTCCAAACCTGGGAATTATTAAGTACTTTTTGGAGGGCTGAAGAACACCTAACTCAGTAAGATGTCTAAAAATCCAGCATATTCATAAATACTTAATTTTTCATTAAAACATCACACATGCAAGAAGCTGAAACCACATCAACATCTCACTTGTAGGCTCCCATGCAAAAAATTCAGCATTTTTGCCCCTCAAGACCAGTGAGCTGATCACCTCCACGTACATGGGATGAAATAACAGGAATTAATTCCTGCCCCGGGCACAGCGCCAATGAAAACACAAACACTCAGACTGCGACTGTGACTTAGCAGAGTTCCTAGAATTTAGGAGAAGCTCCACACTATTGATGCATACGCAGCCCTCCATCCCTCTGACCAAAGCTCCACGTTACCATAGTGCTCTGGATCCTGTCCTCTATGAACTGCAGAATTTGGGTTCCACCCGCTGCTGGCACAGCCTGGAACCAAACGGAAGGAGAAATTAATTTCCCACAACTGGCAAAAACCCTCCATAAAAACATCTCCCCACCCAGCCCGGTGCACACAACACAACTTGGGTGTATTTTCCAGCTACAACCCACTTTGCAAACACAAAAGACGCCGTGGAGAGGGGTCAGTACTGGAGTTCACTGGTGTGAGCTCAACACATTCCTAAATAGTCATAAACCAGGGTCGAAACAGCGAGGTGATAACTTTTTTGATGACTCAATGTTATTCAGAGCAACAAGGACAAGAGCTGAACGTAAAGGACATTATGAGATTGAGAAAATACGTAATGAAATTAATTCACCATACAAATAGAGCTATGAGATGGGAAAAAGCTCTAACCTCAGGTGTAGAGTCCTGGGGCCTGAGCCCACTGTTGTTATTCAGGAAAAAAACTGGGAGTTAAAGTATTGTCTCACAAAGGCCAGCTCAAAACTTACCAGAATGGGGGGAAAAAGCAAACTAACTATTAGGAACAAGTAGGAAAAAAACGAGTACAAGGACAGCTACGTCCCCCTGTAAGTCTTGAATCTTACAGATACTTGAATTTAAGTGCTACACACAGTTCTGGTCCCAGTTTTTGCCCTCAGTTCCAGACCTGATGACTTCTTAATTTTTAGCTTTGTCACAAAGAGAAGAATGAAGCTCACACCGAGAGTCACCAAACTAGTTTCTCTCAGGAAATTCATTCCAGTTCTGCAGCACAAGGAAAGCTCCTGCCTGACCAGTCCAGGCAAAGGGCTCCCAGTCTCCATTTCTCTCCTTTAGTCGCTTTAACACCGCACGTTGACAATTTATTTTCCCAGCATTAGTCAAACTAGTTCTACCACTGCTTTTACCAGACTATTATCAGTGGGATTGTTGCAGAAAGTCCCCAAAAAATTAAAAAAAAGAAAGTTGAAAATTTGCTAGGAACAAATACAAGACGTACTGGTAAAACTGAGCGAGTTGTTGGTAGAAATCTATTGTGGTCACTTAATTTATTTCCCCTTGACAGCGGCAGGGACACGCACAGTTCTGCTGCTGTCCAGGCCTGTGGGATCTCAAATAACATCCAAAATAGTAGTTGCCAGCTGGCACTCCATCGCTGCTCCACCAGCACTGGCACCAAATTCACGAGCGAAAGAATAAAACGCACGTGCACAGAGCGAGCCCCAATGCCTCCCCACGGAAAAACAGTGAGGGAAAGCAGAAATTCAGACCTCCAAGAAAAACTGAGAGGTTCTCGCAAGGTTTCTCACCAACCCCAGTGAAAATGGGATATTCTCAAGCACGGACAATCCTTGTGGAAAAGCTGGAGAGATGCAAGTGGTTGTTGTTGGGTGACAGCCCCTGGGAGAGGTGTGAGGTCACGGTGAAGTCACCAGCTCTGCAGGACCCTCCTGGGCAGCCCGAGCCCGTGGGAGCTCCCTTTGCAGGGTGACAGCCAGCACCCACACTCGGGGACATCACAGGTGCCTTACCCAGCCCCAAACACTGCCCGGACATAAACATGTGTGGAACAACCCTGCAAAGACCCTCACTCCATCAGAAAGGTTGGAATTTCACTGAATTTCACTGAATTTTTCGAGTTGGAAGGGACCATAGAGATCATCTAGTCCAACTCCCCTGCTGAAGCAGGATTACCTAGAGCGTGTCACAGCATCTTACTCAGGAGCATCCAGGCGGGTCTTGAAAATCCAAAAAGAAGGGGACTCCACACCCTCCCTGGGCAGCCTGTTCCAGGGCTCTGCCACCCTCACTGTGAAGAAGTTTCTCCTCATATTTGAGTGGAACCTCTTATGTTCCAACTTGTGCCTGTTGCCCCTCGTCCTCTCAATGACGTGCAAGGAGTACCTATTAAAAAGCATTTGTCTGCTTTTTCCAATGATGTTGACATTTCATTAGGAAAATGAGAATTAATGGTAATTAACCAACTTGTGCCTGTTGCCCCTCGTCCTCTCAATGACGTGCAAGGAGTACCTATTAAAAAGCATTTGTCTGCTTTTTCCAATGATGTTGACATTTCATTAGGAAAATGAGAATTAATGGTAATGGTAATTAAAAAAAAAAAAAAATACAGCTACATAAATAAAGCGCACGCTCCCCCAGTGTCCCAAGTGCAGAACAAGCAGCTCTGCTGGGAGATGAACAACTCCACCAGCTCCACAGGCAAATAGGGAGACGTTCCCCGGGCAGGGAGGGGGGGGGAAACGCTTTCCAGCACTGAAAGTGGGGCCTTGAAATTGGGGGGGCCCCCCCCCTGAACATGGGAGTCCTCCCAGCTCCCGGGCACACGTGTCCACACGCCTGTGGGCACTGCAGGCACTCCAGCTTCCCAAAACTCTTTGGCCCAAAGGCTAAAGCTCTGATCAGGAAAGGTCCTTTCCAAGTAAAAGCATCCAAAGACGTCACCCGAACGTTATCAAATGAGGGAGGTGTTATGGTTTGAAGAAGCCACAACAATTTATCCTCATTTAGACGATTATTCTCTCACCCGATGAGCCTTCCCCTCCCGGGAAGGGGAATAGGGAAAAAGAAGAAAACCCAAGAGTGGAAACAGAAACAGATTTAACAGAATAAGACTAGATAGCTAACATTAATAATACTAAAGAACAAATATTGATCCTGGCACCACTATAAAACATACAAAGATTATAATTAGCCAGTTCTATCCACAGGAAGCCACGCACTCCCAGCCGATGTGGGACCCTGCGAGCGCCACGGGGTCGGGACGGAGGGAAGGGCTCAGGGTCCGACACCGGGGCAAGGAGTTCTCAGGAGACAGAGTCCCTCAGCAAACTTCCTAATTTACATGGAATGTGACATTCATGGTATGAAATAACCCCCTTGGCAGCTTGGGTCAAGTGCCCGGGTCTCACTCCTCCTCATCCCCGCACCCGGGGAGCTTGAAAACACCGAGACCTTGAATCCCACATCCCAGAGCTGGTGATAAAGTAAATATTTTCACCAATGCAGACACCGGAGTGTTCTAACAGCGCAGCTCTCCCAAGCCTTAGAAGAGACCTTACTGAAAAGTTAAACTCCTGAGAGATAAGTCAATGCTGTGTGGCTCACCCCAGGCCAGCGCGGGGCTGTCAGGCTTCAGGAAAACACTAAGGGGGAAATAAATCTGTCAGAAGCAAGAGCAGAGCGACCCTACCTCCAGGCTGGTGCTGTTGGCGTCCTCCTCCTCCTCCATGGCGGGCAGCGGGAGCTGAGGGTCGGGGCGGGCAGAGCACAGACCGTCAGGAGATGAGGAGACCCCGCACTCCCGGCGCCCACCGCCCGCGTCCCACCCCCCTCTCCCGGCCCGGCCGAGCGCCACGACCCCGGGGAACGGCGTCACGTCCCTCGGCTCCGCGCTCACCGACAAACCCCGGCGAGGCCGCGGCTGAGGCGGCGCTACCGGGACCGGTGAGTGCTCCCCGGGGGAGCGGGGGGGGCAGGACCTCGCTCCGACCCGACAGACCTTCTAGAGACCTAGACCATCTCCAGAAGGTCCCAACAACGCCCTGATTCCGTGACACCCCCACCCGGGAGCGCGGCCGCGGCCCCTCTGCGCCCCCCGGTCACGGCGGCCGGGCCCTCGCCCCCTCCCGTTAACGAGACACTGGAAGTTAATGGGCAGCCTCCCGCCAGCCCCACGGGCACCGCCACCCCCCCCCACGAAGCGGACCCGGCCCCTCACCTGCCGCCGCGGGAGCCGCCCGGGTCAAAGGTCACCCCCGCGCCCGGGGGCGGAGGTCGCGGGGCCAATGGGAGCGGGCGGGGTTGGCGTGTGGGGAGGCGGGAGCGCCCTGAGGTGAGGGGAGCGGAGGCGGTGGCGGTGCGGGAGCGGGCTCGCCGCGCTTTGGGGTAGGCCGCGGGGGCCCGGCCATGGGGCTGTTGACCGAGCTGGCCCGCGGCCTAGTGCGGGGCGCCGACCGCATGTCCCCCTTCACCAGCAAGCGCGGCCCGCGGACCTACAACAAGGGCCGAGGCGCCCGGAGGCCGGGCGTGCTCACCTCCAACAGGAAATTCATCCGCATCGAGCAGATGGTGCCGCAGTTCATCGTCCCCGACCTGGAAGGCTTCAAGCTCAAGCCCTACGTCTCGTACCGCGCCCCCCTGGGCTCCGAGCCGCCCATGACGGCCAAGCAGCTCTTCACCGAGGTGGTGGCTCCCCACATCGAGAAGGACGTGAAGGAAGGCACTTTTGACCCCAACAACCTGGAGAAATACGGCTTCGAGCCCACGCAGGAGGGCAAGCTCTTCCAGCTCTTCCCCAAGAACTACGTGCGGTAGCGAGGAGGGAGTGAGACCCGGGGGCTGCTGGGGCGCAGGGGGCAGAGCATCGCCGTCCTGGGAGACACAGCCTGCACCAGCAAACGTGGGACAGCTATTAAAAGCAAATCCTTCCACTTTGTCTTTCTGCAGTCTCTGATTTTAAACGTTGTGGGGAAATGAGGGGTTGAATTCCCAATCCTGGCTAAGGAGAGCGTTACTCGTGCCTCGCGCTGTGCGTGTAGTTGTGTTGTGTGAGCACACGGGTGTCCAGACAGGAGCTGATTGACCAGGCGCTGACAATTAGCAGGAGGCAGTTTCTTTCCAGGCTGCTGAAACATCATTACTTCCTTCTGGGAAGCAATTTCTGTTTTCTGGGAAGAAGAGAGGGCACATCTGATCTCCTTGGGAGAGTCTGGCATTCCTGGCTGTGGAGAGCTGGCTGCTGCAGGCCGGCCCCAGTCCAGGAGGGCTGCCCCCCCCCCAGGGAGGGAACCCCTCGGTGATTTACTCCCAGCCCCAATGACGTGTTCCCCCAAACCAGGAGTGAGACCCCCAACAGGCCAAACCAAGGCTGCACCCTGAGTCCTCTCTCGGAGAGAATTGCGCCTTACGTTGAATGCCACCATTTTTCCAGACTTTCCCAAGCCTTAAAGCTACTCTTTCTTTTAGAGAAAATCAAGATACAGTCAATAGGCGCACTTTGTGTCTGTTCCTTAGTGCAGCTGCTTGAAGTTACGAGATAACTTTACATTTGAAATGTATCTTAAAAATTGATATCTTTTGACATGTTCCTAGAAGATTCTTGCTGTTTATGAAATTAAATGGATACAAGTGACACTTACTTACACAGTCGTGTGACACTGGTTAAAGTAGAAACTGCTAAATTCCAAATGTCTTCGGTAATAACATGTTTTCTCTGACACCCAAGTGCTGGAGTCTTTTGAGAAAATTATTCCTCCGTGCAATAGTTGTGTCCCTCCCAAGAGGTACTTGGGGCTTTATTTTCCGTGAATTTTTTTCCAAACTGCAAAGCTTAAGCATTAGGGAGTTAAATTGCAGTGAGAATGTTCACTTTTGGAGTAAGGAAGCACGTTTACTGTGTTTTCTGTGAGCATCCGGCCTGTAATGAAGATTGGTGGATGAGTCCTTAAAGTGGTGTTTAAAAAATATACCTATTTTCAGGTTGCTTAAAAAAAATACTTATTTTCAGGTTGTTTAAAAAAACCACCTATTTTCATGGCTGGCTGGGGCCGTGCTGGCGGGGAGGGGACGCTCAGCACAGAGGGTCAGGAATCAGGGCAAGGGAAGGGGCAACTTTTCTAATTAATTTAGCCCAACCTGTGTTTTTCACTTATTTTCAGCTCAGCAGAATAAGGGTGATACAGAAGTAGTGTTGTGCCCTCAGCTCTGGGTGCTGCAGGTGGTGCTTCCCCCCTTCCTTTCAGAGGTGTCGCTTTTTTAGGTCCCACCTGGCACTTCCCAGAAGGACCAGCCCTTCAGGAGGGGGAGAGGTGAGCACGGGGCTGGAGAGTGGGAGGTCCCGTGCCCTTGGACACTGATACAGCTTGGTCTTGAGTGAGTCTGCTTCAAGACAAGGAGGCTTGAAGGCACTGCTGAGAAGGATCTGGGGGTCCTGGTGGGCAGTGAACTCTCCATGGGCCAGCAATGTGCCCTTGTGGCCAAGAGGCCAATGGGATCCTGGGCTGTGTAGGGAAGAGTGTGGCCAGGAGGTGGAGGGAGGTCATTCTCCCCCTCTGCTCTGCACTGGGGAGGCCACAACTGGAATCCTGCCTCCAGTGCTGGGCTCCCCAGTTCCAGAGAGACAGCGAACTGCTGGAGAGAGTCCAGCGTAGGGCAACAGAGATGATGGAGGGATTGGAGCATCTCCCTGGTGAGGAAAGGCTGAGAGAGCTGGGGCTCTTGAGCCTGGAGAAGAGAAGGCTGAGGGGAGACCTTATTAATGCTGACAAGTGTCTAAAGGGTGGGTTGAAGGAGGATGGAGCTGGACTCTTTCCAGTGGTTCCCAGGGACAGGACGAGGGGCAACGGGCACAAGCTGGACCATGGGAAGTTCCACTGCAATGTGAGGAAGAACTTGTTTGGGGTGAGGGTGGCAGAGCCCTGGCAGAGGCTGCCCAGGGAGGGTGTGGAGTCCCCTTCTCTGGAGATCTTCAGGCCCCACCTGGATGCTCCTGAGTGCTGTGCTCTGGGCAGCCCTGCTTTGGCAGGGGAGTGGGACTGGATGGGCTCTAGAGGTCCCTTCCAACTCCAACAATTCCCCGATTCCGAGTCACTGGCTCTGTGACACTCTTCAGCCTCACTAGCCTCAGACTGTTGCCTGCATCTCGTCTCACACAGCAATAAAAAAGCCAATTACTACCTTTTAAGAGAAGAGGCGCAGTCCAAAGCTGTGTCGCTGGAGGATACACCCTCGGCCTTCCCGCCCAGGTGTGAGGGAACTGGATTGTCTGCTCCGTCTCCCCAGGAACGGCCGACGCCACCAAACGCCCTCAGAGAGATGGAGCCATCACAGGACGAGGCAGAAGGTCCTCAACAAGGACTTTTTAAAAAATCAAAACAACGAAGGAAAATAAACCACTTATATTGATTTTATTTTAGAAACATCCAAAAATAGGGTGGTTTTGTTTGTTTGTTTTTAACAAAAGCTCTTGTTGACAATACTAATACGAATCTTCAGGTAACAGCGCTTAAGAATGTTTTCTAAAATGCACATTCACCCTTGAAAAAGGCGTTTTGAAGCAGTAAAATCCTCTCCTGCTGCCCCTCGCCACAGAGGCAGCGCTGGTACAGACAGACCTTGTTGCTGGTGTTTCTTTTCCTCCAGGAGACTAATTCTTTAGGACCCTCAAAGAGAACCCACGATAGCCAGAGACGTTACTTACCTACTTTAAGCTGTTTTTCTGTTTCTAGGAAGAGAACAGAAGTGTTCCAGAAACAGTGGTTTTGCTGATACTTCACAGTGAAAAAAGAAAGCTAATGGAGCAACCATGAGAGATTCCGCAGCCATTCCTGGAGGTAGTTAGGGCAACGCTGGAAAGATTTTGGTTTCCGTACTATTCCGTAGTATTTTGAACTTTGAAAAATGTCAGGAAACACTGCTTGGACTTTTTTGGAGGTTTTGATCTTAAAGCTGTTCACCTTTACGCAACGGAAAGATCTCGACTTTGGAGCTAAACCTACATCTCAATGAGTTTGCTACCAAGAGGCCGGGAGGGGTTGATGGTGGCACTAGGACACAGCGGGGCTCATGACACCGTTTCCACTAAACCAGGCTGTGCCCTGCTTGGAGAGCGACGGAGCGAGATCACAGCCAGGTGAGGAGTCCCGTGTCAAAATCAGACTGTGCAAATCAGACCAGAACCCCCCCAGGAAAGGCCCTGCTCGGAGCTGCTGTCACTCAGACTGGATTTCCCTCTGAAAAAGGACTTCTCTCCCCCAACGAACCCTACGGGCACGTCACACTGTCAGTATCTGGACCATCTAAGCACCTTCT